TATTAGCCCATTGTTGCAGCCACTGTGTCAGTCCATCTTGTGGAGGGTCTTCCTCTTTTTCGCTGATCCTCTACTTTACCAAGCATGGTGTCCTTCTCCAGGGAATGATCCTTCCTGAGAACTTGTCCAAAGTACTTGAGACGAAGTCTCGCCATCCTCGCTTCTAATGAGCGTTCTGGCTATACTTCTTCCAAGACAGATTTGTTCGTTCTTCTGGCAGTCCATGGTATAGTCAACATTCTTCGACAACACTATAACTCAAATGCATCAATTCTCATTTGATCTTCCTTATTCATTGCCCAGCTTTCGCATGCATATGAGGCAATTGAAAACATCATGGCTTGGGTCAGGCTCACATTAGTCCTCAAACTGACATCTTTGCTTTCGAACACTTTAAAGAGGTCTTTTGCACAGATTTGCCCAATGCAATGCGTCATTTGATTTCTTGACTGCTGCTTCCGTGAGTGTTGAATGTAGACTGAAGTAAAACAAAGTCCTTGACAACTTCTATCTTTTCTCCGTTTATCATGATGTTGCTTATTGGTCCAGTTTTGAGGATTTTTGTTTTCTTTATGTTGAGGTGTAATCCATACTGAAGGCTGCAGTCCTTGATCTTCATCAGTAAGTGCTTCAAGTCGTCTTTACTTTTAGTAAGCAAGGTTGTCATCTGCACAATGCAGGTTGTTAATGCGTCTTCTTCCAATCCTGATGCCGCGTTCTTCCTCATATAGTCCAGCTTCTCGGGTTGTTTGCTCAGCATACAGACTGAATAAGTATGGTGAAAGGATACAACCCTGAAGCACATGTTTCTTGACTTTAAACCAGGCAATATCTCCTTGTTCTGTTCAAACGACTGCCTCTTGGTCTATGTACAGGTTCCTCATGAGCACAGTTAAGTGTTCTGGAGTTCCCATTCTTTGCAATGTTATCCATAATTTGTTATGATCCACACAGTCGAATGCCTTGGGTGCATGAGGGGTGGCTTAAGGACATTTGGGAACTATCTACTTGTTTTTCTTCTTGGTAATTCTGCCCAAGAGAGTTTCAAATCAAGCCCCTGAAAAACAATCAGAGAGAACAATTTTCTTGTTTTAACTTTACCCTCACTGGTTCCATGACCTAGTGAGTGGACTCTACTGGGGTCAAAGCCATCCTTGGAGGTGAGCCCGAAGCCTGGCTGCCAGGGACCAGCTTGGGGCAGATGGAAGTATGTGCGCTGAGTAGCCTCAGGCTAGGTAGCTCTCAACCTCTCACCCACCAGTGGGGGTCTGGCTCCACCGTCTTCATTCCCTTGGACCTCTGTCCTTGCTCTCTGCTTTTCATTTCACTGGCACACTGAGTTCAACATCCCGCTGACAGTGACCCACATCCTTTACTCTCTGGGGTCCCTGATCTTTTAGCCCTGAGCCTCAGCCCTCACAGCAGCCCCCAGCATTTAAGGGAAGCTGTCCCTGGAGCCCCAGAGGGGCCACAGGGTGAGGCCTGCAGGTTGCTGGCGACTTGGGTCACCCCCTATATGGAGACTGGCCAGCCTATCTGAGAAGGAAGGGGTGCTGCTGGGATCCAGAGCCTTTATTCTTCCAAACAGGCAGGCACTAGGGGGGAGGGAGTGGGGAGAAAGAAAAGGAGGAGCAGAGGCCAAAGGGTTAAACAAGGAGTGATGGGGCGAGAAAGCTGAGAAGTTTTCAGGAGTTTCGATCTCTCTCCCCCCACCCCCACAATTTGATTCTGCTATGGAATTAGAGGAGCCCTGGTAGCTAAGTGGTTAAGAGCTCAGTTGGCTAACCAAAAGGTCAGCAGTTCAAATCCACCAACCACTCCTTGGAAACCATGTGGGGCAGTTCTACTCTGTCCTATAGGGTCACTGTGACTGAGTCAGAATCAACTCCAGAGTACACAGTAACAACAACATGGATTTAGAGTCTGACTCCATTGGGAGGAGGAGACCAGCAGGGGGAGATGGAGGGCAGGGACACACAGGGTGAAGAGGAAGTCAGCAGATAAGGGTAGAGTCCACGGGTGGCCTGAGTCAGCACCATGATAAGTCTAGGGCTCCTGGGTTCCCTGACAGCGTTAGTCAGGGACTGGAAAGTGCTTATAGTGAGAAAGCTGTCCCAGGGCAGTAATTACATCTCCTGGGAAATGCCCAGCTAACAAATTCCCCGTCAGGATTTGTCGTTGTTAGGTGTCATCGACTAGATTCCAACTCATAGCGACCCTATGTACAACAGAACAAAGCACTGCCTGATCCTGCGCCATCCTCACAATCATTGTTATACGTGAGCCCATTGTTGCAGACACTGTGTCAATCCATCTCGTAGAGCGTCTTCCTCTTTTTTGCTGACCCTCTACTCTACCAAGCGTGATGTCCTTCTCCAGAGAATTATCCTTCCTGATGACATGTCCAAAGTACGTGAGATGTAGTCTTGCCATCCTTGCTTCTAAGGGGCATTCTGGCTGTATTTCTTGCAAGACAGATTTGTTGGTTCTTTTGCAGTCCGTGGTATATTCAATATTCTTTGCCAACACCATGATTTAAATGCATTAATTCTTCTTCAGTGTTCCTTATTCATTGCCCAGCTTTCACACGCATATGAGGCAATTGAAAACATCATGGCTTGGGTCAGGCATACCTTAGTCTTCAAGGTGACATCTTTACTTTTCAATACTTTAAAGAGGCCTTTTGCAGCAGATTTGCCCAATGCAATGCATCTTTTGATTTCTTGACTGCTGCTTCCATGGGTGTTGACTGTGGATCCAAGTAAAATGAAATCCTTGACAACTTCAGTCTTTTCTCTGTTTATCGTGATGTTGCTTATTGGTCCAGTAGTGAGGATTTTTGTCTTCTTTATGTTGAGGTGGAATCCATACTGAAGACTGTGGTCCTTGATTGTCATCAGTACGTGCTTCAAGTTCTCTTCACTTTCAGCAAGCAAGGTTGTGTCATTTCTATAACGTTGGTTGTTAATGAGTCTTCCTCCAATCCTGATGCCACGTTCTTCTCCATATAGTATAGCTTCTCAGATTATTTGCTCAGCATACAGATTGAACAAGTATGGTGAAAGGATACAACCCTGACGCACACCTTTCCTGATTTTAAACCATCCAGTATCCCCTTGTTCTGTTCCAACGACTGCCTCTTGATCCATGTACAGGTCCCACATGAGCACAGTTAAGTGTTCTGGAATTCCCATTCTTCACAATGTTATCCGTAATTTATTTTGACCCACACAGTCAAATGCCTTTTCATAGTCAATAAAACACAGGTAAACATCTTTCTGGTATTCTCTGCTTTCAGCCAAGATCCATCTGACATCAGCAGTGAAATCCCTGGTTCCACATTGTCTTCTGTATCCAGCTTGAATTTCTGGCAGTTTTCTGTCAATATACTGCTGGAACCGCTTTTGAATGATCTTCAGCAAAATTTTACTTGCGTGTGACATTAATGATATTGTTTGATAATTTCCGCATTTGGTTGGATCACCTTTCTTTGGAATGGGCATAAATATATATCTCTTCCAGTCAGTTGACCAGGTAACTTTCTCCCAAATTTCTTGGCATAGAGGAGAGAGCACTTTCGGTTCTGCATCCCTCTGATGAAATAACTGAATTGGCATTCTGTCAATTCCTGCAGGCTTGTTTTTGCCCAATGACTTCAGTGCAGTTTGGACCTCTTCCTTCAGTACCATTGGTTCCTGATCATATGCTACCTCCTGAAATGGTTGAATGTTGACCAATTCTTTTTGGTATAGTGACTCTGTGTATTCCTTCCATCTGTTTTTGATAGTTCCTGTCGTTTAATATTTTCCGTGAAGAATCCTTCAATATTGCAACTTGAGGCTTGAATTTTTTCTTCAGTTCTTTCAGCTTGAGAAATGCTGAGTGTATTCTTCCCTTTTGGTTTTCTACCTCCAGATCTTTGCACATGTCATTATGATACTTTACTTCGTCTTCTTGAGCAGCCCTTTGAAATCTTCCATTCTGCTCTTTTACTTCATCATTTCTTCCTTTCAGTTTAGCTACTCGACTTCAAGAGCAACTTTGAAAAGACCAAAATGGATGTCAGAAGAGACTCTAAAAGTTGCTCATCAGGGATTAGGACTTAACATAAACACTAAACAATAAAAGTCTTTTGACCTCTTATCTCTCTGTCACTGATTGCATCTTGATTGCATTTTAACGACCTTTGGAAACCACAAAACTTCTAATCTTTGCTAGACTGTACTCAAAAGATTACCTGGACTCTGTGTACTTAAAGAATGTTGCTTTGTTTTTCCATCTGGGCCTGATTCACGGGGGATGCTTAGCCACTCTGAGACAAGAGAAACACGAGCCCCAGGACTACCATGACCTTGAACTTGGGCTTTTCACTATCCCTTACGAAGTCTCATCTAGCTCCACCAAAAAGTTGAGGTGGTTTGTAAATATTATATATTAATATAAATTAATTACATAATCTGTAATTAGTATACGTAGGTAGTCCCCGACTTCTGATGTATTTGATTTACAAGCCACACTTACGACCATCCTTTTTTATGATTTGTGTATTTTTTATGTATGTGTGTATTAAAATATCTGTAAGTTTATATGTAATGTTTCCAACCCCAGAAAACAAATAAAGATTGGATTTATAAAGATACTGATAATAAAAGGCAATAATCATGAAAAATACAAAAAATAAGGTATTCGACTTGTATTCTGAACTGCATAAAGAAGGTGGAGTCAGGATCAGAGGAAGGCCATTAACAAACGGTGATATGCAGATGACACCACCTTGCTGACTGAAAGCCGGTACTGATGAAGATCACAGACCACAGCCTTCAGTATGGATCACACTTCAACATAAAGAAAGCAAAAATCCTCACAACTGGACCAATAAGCAACATCATGAGGGTACCTTGTATGTGAAGTGGCACCTTGTGAACGGAAGGATGGCTAAGGAGGGAGCTATTGAAATGGTAAATCCACCTGACTGTGCTGTTGCTTTTTTCCCTCTCTAGGAGCCTTTATGATCCCGTTCCTCATCCTGCTGGTGTTGGAGGGGATCCCGCTGCTGCACCTGGAGTTCGCTATCGGACAAAGGCTGCGGAAGGGGAGCGTGGGCGTCTGGAGCTCCATCCACCCAGCCCTGAAGGGCGTAGGTGAGTGCCTACAGCCACCCGGGCCCCGGAGTTGACCACAGGCATGGGTTTCCTTCCTGGTTCCTTGCCCTGTGCATTTTCAGGGAGAGGACACTCTCAGGGTTGGTGCTCCCTTGCCACCTGAGGCCTTTGGAAAACTCTTTCTAGAATGTTCTGGAGTGTAAATTGCAGTGTCCAGCCAGGGCCACTCCTGGTTGCCAGTAAGTGAGGCTACTGGGAGCAGCCTGGTCTGCAGAGGCTATCTGGGTCCTCTGGAGGCCTAGGGCATGGGGGTGTTGACACAGAGGGGCCCAAGTGGCCACACTCTCCTCCAGACAGGATGCAGCAAGGGCCGTGGAGGTCACATGGGGGCACTGGCCTCTGAGGGAGGCTCCTCTGCTTCCCTCAGCGGATGGCTGAGAACTGACCCACCACACGTAGTCACTCTTTTACAAACTTGGTGAACCAGTAGGGACCTCAGACATGAACTCCCCAAGAGGACAAGGTTGGTGAGAACTCCGAGGAGGGGCACACAGGGAAATACCCCAGAGGTGGCGGGGGGGAGAGTCCGTTCAAAAGGGATTCGCTTCCAGCCAAGGTGTCTGCCCACTTTCCCAGCTGAGGTCTGGGCCACAGCCAGAACCACTGCTGCTCACAATGACCCTCTCTTGTCAGTTTTCAAGGTCTCCTCTCTCTGACCGTGTCTGTCTGTCTCTCTTGCCTCTGTCTCTTTCTGTCTCTCTGTCTACCTCTCTGTCTCCTTTCTTTCTCTCTGCCTGTCTCTTCTGTCTCTGTTTCTTTTCCCTGTGTCTCTGTCTCTATCACTCTGTGTCTTTTCTCTCTGTCTCTGTCTATCTCTGTCACTCTATCTCTCTGTCTCTGTCTCTCTACCTCTGTTTCTGTCTGTCACTGTCTCTCTCTATCTCCCTGTCTCCTTTCTTTCTCTCTGCCTCTGTCTCTTTCTGTCTCTCTGTCTCTGTCTATCACTGTCTCTGTCTCTCTCACTCTCTGTCTCTCTCTCTGGCTGGATGCCATGGCCACGGTGACCTCCCAGGCCTATCATGCCCCATGTTCTCAAAGCTTCAGTTTCCCCAACTGCAAAGTGGTGTAAGTCACTCCACCCACATGTGTAGCTGCTCTCGGGGTGAACCTGGAGGGTGATCCCCCATGTCTGCTCTGTGCACTTTCCTAAATCCCGCTGCCCTCCTGCCCCACGTGTCCCAACAGGGGGCAATCCCATTCAGCTGTTGTCCGCTCCCTTTGCTGGGAGCAGAGCCACTCCTCCCAGGGACCGTGACGCGAGCAGCATGAGCAGCACTGAGGTGGGGACAGGGCAGGTAACATGTTGGGGCAGCAGCCCACGTGACCTCTATCCCCCAGGCATCGCCTCCATGTTCGTGTCCTTCATGGTGGGCCTCTACTACAACACCATCATTGCCTGGATCATGTGGTACTTCTTCAACTCCTTCCAGGACCCCCTGCCATGGAGCCAATGTCCTGTCAGCGGGAACATGACAGGTGAGCCCGGCCCGGAGGAGTCACCACACACCTTCCACTCCACCTCACCTGCTGGGTATCACATGTCAACACATATGATCAACACATGTCATGAATAAAACCAAAACCAAACCCATTGCCATCAAGTTGATTCTGGCTCATAGAGACTGTCCCATAGGAATTTCTTGGCTGTAATCTTTATGGAAGTAGATAACCAGATATTTCTTCTGTGGCACCATTGGGTGTGTTTGAACTGCCAACCTTTTGATTAATAGTTGAGCACAAACCATTCGTACCACCCAAGGACCTATATCAGGAATAGTTACCCTAAGGAGCCCTGGTGGTGCAATGGTTAAGCGCTCGGCTGCTAACCGGAAGATCAGGAGTTCGAACTCACCAGCTGCTTCACAGGAGAAGAGACCTGGCAGCCTGTTCCCATAAAGATTTCAGCCTAGGAAACCCTATGGGGCAGCCCTACTCTGTCCCATAGGATCACTATGAGTCGGGATTGACTTGACAACACACACGACAACAATTTTTTTTTTTTTTAATTAAGATTGCTATAGATCAGTTTTGGCAAAGACCAGGGCACCTCTAGGGCCAACAGAGCTTTTATAAAAAATTACAGTGCAAGAAAAAAAAATGGTGGGCTTCCTAGCTCAAGGTGGAATGGTGGCTTGAAGGAGGTCACTCCAAATGGAAACGGGTAGGAACTTCTCTGCCAGGTGCCCACCTGCTTGGGGCAGAGGCAGGCCCAGGGTCCTACAGGTTCCACCAAGACCCTTCCCTCCATGGGCCCTGGCAGCAAAGAAGATTTGCTACCAGCATTGGGTATGGGCATCCTGGGGGTGTCCATACCTGCTCCAGGTGGACAGTGTTGCTACATGCCCTCAAGGCAGGTGATGTGATCATCCACCACCTGCTGCTTCCTTCTGGAGCCACTTTCTTTGCACAGTGGGCTCGTGCCCCTCACCATCCTGGCCTTTCCAGGACTCCCTACCCAGGAGGGGGTGGCAGATACTTTGCTGGGGCCAGGAGAGGGGGCAGTGGACCTGAGCTGTCTTGGCAGTTCTCCACGTTTGCATCAGGATTTGAATGGCCTATTTTGTAACCATTGATCCAGTAAGCAGAGAGTGAATAATACATTTTTTTTTTTCACTGCTCAGGTCCCTTTATGACTTAACTGAGGCTCAGGGTCGCCAAAATTGGCCCCTTTGGGGAAACGCACAACAAAATTTTACATTCTAATGGACTGCAGACTTTCTGGAGCCATTGAGGCTAGATGAACCCCTGAAACTATTGTCCTGAAATAATCTTTAAACCTTCAACCAAAAATATCCCCTGAAGTTGTCCCGAAACCAAGTAAGTGTTGTTGTTGTTGTTAGGTGCCATTGAATTGGTACAGAACAAAACACTGCCTGGTCCTGCACCATTCTCACAATTGTTGCTATGTTCAAGCCCGTAGGTGTAGCCACTGTGTCAATCTATCTCGTCAAGGGTCTTCCTCTTTTTCACTAACCTTCTACTTTACCAAACATGATGTCCTTCTCCAGGGACTGATCCCTCCTGATAACATGTCCAAAGTATGTGAGATATAGTCTTGCCATCTTTGCTTCTAAGGAACATTCTGTTTGTACTGCTTCCAAGACAGATTTGTTTGTTCTTCTGGCAGTTCATGGTATATTCAATATTCTTCTCCAACACCATAATTCAAATGCATCAATTCTTCTTAGGTCTTCCCTATTCATTACCAGGCTTTCGCATGCATACGAGGCAGTCGAAAACACCATGGCTTGGGTCAGGCTCACCTTAGTCCTCAGACTGACATCTTTGCTTTTGAACACTTTAAAGAGGTCTTTTGCAGCAGATTTGCCTAATGCAATGCGTCTTTGGATTTCCTGACAGCTGCTTCCATGGGCGTTCCGTTGACAAAGTCAGTCTTTTCTCCATTTATCGTGATGTTGCTTATTGGTCCATTTGTGAGGATTTTTGTTTTCTTTATGTTGAGGAGTAATCCATACTGAAGGCTGTGGTCTTTGATCTTCATCAGTAAGTTCTTCAAGTTCTCTTAGCTTTCAGCCAGCAAGATTGTGTCATCTGTATATTGCAGGTTGTTAATGAGTCTTCCTCCAATCCTGATGCCTCATTCTTCTTCACATAGTCCAGCTTCTCGATTTGCTCAGCATACAGATTGAATAAATATGGTGAACAAGTACAACCCTGACTCACACCTTTCCTGACTTTAAACCACGTAGTATCTCATTGTTCTGTTCAAATGACTGCCTCTTGGTCTACGTACAGGTTCCTCATGAGCACAATTAAGTGTTCTGGAATTCCCATTCTTTGCAATGTTATCCATAATTTGCTATGATCCACACAGTCGAACGCCTTTGCATAGTCAATAAAACACAGGTAAACATCTTTCCGGCATTCTCTGCTTTCAGTCAAGATACATCTGACATCAGCAATGATATCCCTGGTTCCACGTCCTCTTCTGAATTGGGCTTGAATTTCTGGCAGTTCCCTGTTGAAGTACTGCTGCAATTACTTTTGAATGACCTTCAGCAAAACTTTATTTACCTGTGATATTATGATACTGTTTGATAATTTCCACATTCTGTTGAATCACCTTTCTTGTGAATAGACATAAATATGGATCTCTTCCAGTCAGTTGGCCAGGTAGTTTTCTTCCAGATTTCTTGGCATAGACAAATGAGTTCTTGCAGCACTGCATCCATTTGTTGAAACATCACAATTGTTATTCCATCAATTCCTGAAGCCTTGTTTCTCGCCAGTGCTTTCAGTGCAGCTTAGACTTCTTCCTTCAGTACCATCAGTTCCTGATTATATGCTTCTCCTGAAATGACTGAATGTGTACCAGCTCTTTTTGGTACAGTGACTGTGTATTCCTTCCATTTTCTTTTGATACTTCCTGCATCGTTTAATATTTTCCCCATAGAATCCTTCAATATTGCAACTCGAGGCTTGAATTTTCTCTTCATTTCTTTCAGCTTGAGAATTGCCAAGTGTGTTCTTCCTTTTTAGTTTCCTAACTCCAAGCCTTTGCACATTTCTTTATAATACTTCGTCTTCTTGAGCTGCCTTTGAAATCTTCTGTTCAGCTCTTTTACTTCATCATTTCTTCCATTCGCTTTAGCTGCTCTACTTCCAAAAGCAAGTTTCAGAGTCTCTTTTGATATTTATTTGGGTCTTTTCTTTCCTGTCTTTTTAATGATCTTTTGCTTTCTTCATACATGATGTCCTTGATGTCATTCCACAAATCGTCTGTTCTTCAATCATCAGTGTTCAGTGAGTCAAATCTGTTCTTGAGATGATCTCTAAGTTCAGGTCAGATATACTCAAGGTGGTATTTTGGCTCTCGTAGACTTGCTCTAATTGTCTTCAGCTTCAACTTCAACTTGCATATGAGCAATTGATGGTCTGTTCCGCAGTTGGCCCCTGGCCTTGTTCTAACTGATGATATTTGGCTTCTCTTTCATCTCTTTCCACAGATGTAGTTCCCTTGATTCCTGTGTATTCCTTTCAGTGAAGTCCCCATGTATAGTCACCATTTATGTTGTTGAAAAAGGTATTTGCAGTGAAGCAGTTGTTGGTCTTGCAAAATTCTATAAAGAGTTCTCCCTGGCTTCCAGCATCACTGTAAAATGAAAGCCACCACAGTTCAACAGACAGATGATTAGTCAAAATGATCTGCCTTGAGCACTGTGCTCTTTTAAAGATCTATCTATATGGGATCAAACCGACAAGAGCAACTGGAAAGGTTAGATAGGAAACTTAGCGGGCAGTGAGTTTATGTTAATGTGAGAGGAGCAATTCTGAAAAGACGGCTGAAAATGGTCACACAATTGCAAGAATGTAATCAATATCACTGAATTGTACATGCAGAAACTGTTGAATTAGTGTACGTCTTGCTGTGTATATTTTCAACAACAACAAATAAAATAAAATTTTTTACACAGTTGGCCCCTTTGGGTCAGAAAAAGACAAGTCCTAACCTCCCCCCACCCTCGTGATATCTCTCCTCCACTCTGGGACTGCTCAGGGCATTTCTCCGTCTCTGAAGTGGGGTGGGGGCATCCTGGATTAGACTGATCCCCTCTTAGAAAGGTTATAATGCAGTCCCATGAGTCTGCCCCATGGGATGGGTCGTCCACTCTCCTGTGCCCCAGGTGACTGCCTCAGCCCTGGGACTGGCCGGGAGCAGGCGGCACTCAACTACAGACAGAGCCAGTCATGAGGAGGAGGGCACAGGGGAGCCCCAAGGAGCCTAGTCCTTCAGTGCCGGGCCCCCATCTCGGCAGAGTTCGGCACCCCGGAACAGATGAAGGGGACTCACGTTTGGGGTGAAGAGGAAGACGATGCCCAGGGACCTGTGTGGTGGGAATGAGGGCAGCTGAACAGAATGGCCCAGTGCAGACCCTGGCAAGGGAACACTAAGGTCTCTAGTGATCTCCCACATTGCTGAGCATCTTGTCTGTGGACTGCCTCCTAGATACACCTGTGTGGGGCTCCCCATGGCCTGGACTCAGAGGGAGAAGGGAGGTCATCAGGGGCCCAGTGAGTGCACCTCACACTTGGAACTGATGTCTTTTCACAACGATGTGTGTGGGTGTGTGTACATGTGTGTGCACAAGCATGTTTGTGTGCACACAGATGTGAGTGTGAGCATGTGTGAACACGTAAGCATGCATGTGCACACACAATGTGCACAGGTCATTTTGCACGTGTACAAACATGCATGCATGCTGTACATTCATGTGCCTACATGTGCACAAACTTCATGTGCATGTGTGTGCATAAACTGTGTGCACGTGTGCATTCGTGTGCACACAAGTGTGCATGCATGCTTGTGAATGGGTGTCCATGTGTGTGTACATATGTCCCTGGTGTTATGGCCTCAAGGAGGTGGGCCGCTGTCTCCTCCAGCTCAGAGGCCCACCATCCTCCTTCCATCATTCACATTCTTTGTAACCAGTAACTAAAGTGAGCCAATGCCTGCATCTTCTGCCAGGCTACGTGGAGGAGTGTGTCCGGAGCTCCCCTGTGGACTACTTCTGGTACCGAGAGACACTCAACATCTCCACATCCATCAACGACTCAGGTTCCATCCAGTGGTGGATCCTGCTCTGCCTGACGTCCGCCTGGAGCGTGCTCTACGTGTGCACCATCCGTGGCATCGAGACCACAGGGAAGGTATGGCTGGGTACTGTGCTTAGGCGGCCCTCCCCGTCACATCAGAGCGCTTGGGTGTTGACTCTGAGCCAGGCTGCAGGGGTTCTGAATGCAGGGGGATGGTGCAGAGGGGGCCCACACCTGGGACGCTCTCAGTGGATGCTCCAGACGCCAGCTGTACCACTGAACCTGGCTCTGCAGTCACAGACCCTGCCCACCACCAGGGCCCTCCCTGCTGCCTCTGTCCTCAGGCTGCCACATGGCCTTTGTCTGGAAGGAGCCAACCCGCTAACCTTCCCCAGGACTGGATCACCCAGTCTGGAGGCCCAGGGACCTGGCCAAGGCTGCTTTCAACCACAATGCTTTGAATGCCATGCACAACAATGATCCAGAATAGCTATCTGATTGGAAAGAGTTAAATTTAAAAAAGGAAAGGGTGGAAAATGGAAGAAGTTAAATCTTCTTTATTTGGGAAGCTCAAGCCCCAGTCATTCAGGAGAGGCACAGAGGGCAGAGTCCTCATGGTCAAGGCCTTTCCCTGGGTTGGGCTGATTTGAGGAGAGGCCTGGGGCTCTGGACTCCCCTCCCCCTCGTTAAGCCTCCCCCACACGGCCTTCCCTCCTCCACAGGCTGTGTACGTCACGTCCACGCTGCCCTACATTGTCTTGACCATCTTCCTCATCCGAGGCTTGACCCTGAAGGGAGCCAGCAAGGGCATCGTCTTCCTCTTCACCCCAAACGTGAGTCCCCTTCATCTGTTCCGGGGTGCCGAACTCTGCCGAGATGGGGGCCCGGCACTGAAGGACTAGGCTCCTTGGGGCTCCCCTGCGCCCTCCTCCTCATGACTGGCTCTGTCCGTAGTTGAGTGCCGCCTGCTCCCGGCCAGTCCCAGGGCTGAGGCGGTCACCTGGGGCACAGGAGAGGGGACGACCCATCCCATGGGGCAGGCAGGACCACCTATCCTTGGACACATCAAGCTGCAGCATGACTTTGCTGCTTGGTGCACAGACAGCAGCCCACCCCATATGGGGAAGGAATCCCTTCCATCCTTAGGGGGCACTCTTGGTCAGGACCACTCGCACATTAGCCTTGGCTTTGCTTCCCGGTGGGCAGGCCCTGCTCCCCCAACCCACCCTGTGGCCTGCTCTTCTTCATGTGGCCACAACTGCCTCCTCTGGAAAGAAGCCGGAGCGTGGACCACCCCTCCGTGGTTTTCCCGTGGCTCCGAGATACACGGCCCAGCGAGGTGGCGCACTGAGCTTCCAGGTCTGAGTGTCTGCTTGGCCCGCAGGTCACGGAACTGGCCAACCCAGTCACCTGGCTGGACGCAGGAGCCCAGGTGTTCTATTCCTTCTCCCTGGCCTTCGGGGGCCTCATCTCCTTCTCCAGCTACAACTCTGTGCAGTGAGTATGTGGGACAGAGCCCTGGGGGTAGCCTTGTCTGGCGGGGTCTGGGGCAGGCCCGGGGTCAGGTGCCTTGGTTTCTCTACAAGCACAAAGAGAGTGACCAGGCCTCGTGGAATTCTGCTGTGAGGATGAAAAGCAGCACAGCGAATTCTGCAAATGCTCATTATCATTGTCACTGCCTGCCAGTCAGTCCCATGACTTGGTCTCCTAAACTAGAGAGCGCAGTGCTTGGAAGGAAGTGTCAGAACTGGCATCAGTTAAAGCATACTGTGGCAGCTAGAGGGACCCGTTAACAACCCGGTGCCCCTTCTCCCTTGGGGCCAGATGGAAGCGGGTCCCTCTCCTTTCCTTCCTCATCTCCTCCTTGATTCCCAGGAACACCCCGCTGGCCCCCAATGCCCAGCGCCCTGCAGTCCACCTGAAGACCATGGCCCCCTTCCTCAGCTCCTCCCCTGGTTCCCAGCAACACCCTGATGGCCCCCAAAGTCCAGCATCCTGCAGTCCACCTGCAGACCAGGGCCCCAATACTGTACGGCTGTGTCACTGCCCTGCTCACCAACCTCCTCTGCTTCCCAACACCACCTGAGGAAGGGCCCAGAACCTCGATAGCTCCCAGGGGCCTCTAGGAGAGACGCAGTTCGAGTCAGTTCATTTCACAAGTATTTTTTGAACACCTACTGTGTGCCAAGCCTGGTCATCAGGGACGCAGACAAGGAAGGCTCCATCCTCAGATGGCTCGCTGTTTCAAAGGGAGATGAACAAGCACGAGGAATAAGCAAATATCATGTCTGAGGTAGATAGAATGAGGGGACTTGGAAGGGAGCAGGGTCATCAGTATGATCTGAGCAGAGACTCAGACGAGGAAGGGAACAGCCAGTGAGACCCCGCAGGCCAGAGAGGACTGTGTGAACGGTGTGGCTGTGGCAGTGAGCAGAGGTGAGGCTGTGAAGGCGGGCTATGACCAGGGAGTGAGCAGGGGGGAAGCTGTGAGGGTGAGTGTGAGGTGAGCTAGGACCCCAGGTGGTGAGTAAGGAACCATCCAGAGTGCTGAAGACCAGACTCCTCATGAGGTGGGGGCCGAGGAGAAACCTGATCAGATTTGGTGCTTTGTTGTTTTTTTTTCAAATTGTGCTTTAGGTGAAAGTTTACAGCTCAAGTCAGTTTCTCATACAAAAATTTATACATACACTGTTATGTGACCCTGCTTGTTCTCCCTATACTGTGACAGCACACTCTTCCTTTCCACCCCAGATTTCCCGTGTCCATTCAACCAGCTCCTGACCCTCTCTGCCTTCCCATCTCGCTTCAGGACAGAAGCTGCGCAATTAGTCTCAAGTATCTACTGGAGCTAAGAAGCACACTCTTCATGAGTATCATTTTATGTCCCATAGTCCAGTCTAATCTTTGTCTGAAGAGTTGGCTTCGAGAATGGCTTTAATTCTGGGTTGACTGAGAGTCCGGGGCCATGTCTTCTGGGGTTTCTCCAGTCTGTCAGACCATTACACACCATTACAGACTTGGTGCTTTAAAAGATCCCCCTGGCTGCCGTGGGGGAAGATGCCAGAGGCAAGCCCATCAGGAGCTTGCTGCAGAGACCTGATCTACAGGGTAGTGACCATAGCAGTGGCCGTGTGAAGTCCTGGTCCTCTGATTTTCTAGTGCATTGGACGAGACAAAGCCAAGGGTGTCTGGCTTTTTTTTGTTGTTGTTTATTGTTGTAGTTTAAATGAAGTTCACATTTCAAGTTAATCTCCCATACAAAGATTTATACATACATTGTTATGTGACCCTAATTGCTCACCCCATTCTGCGACAGCACACTCCTCCTTTCCACCCCTGATTCCCCATGTCCATTCAACCAGCTCCTAACCCTCTCTGCCTGCCCATCTCACCTCCAGACAGAAGCTGCCCATTTAGTCTCTTGTATCTACTTGAACTAAGAGGCACACTCCTCACGAGTATCACTTTATGTCCCACAGTCCAGTCCAATCCCTGTCTGAAGAGTTGGCCTCAGAAATTGTTTTAGTTCTGGGCTACTAGAGAATCCAGGGGCCATGCTTTCCGGGGTTCCTCCAGTCTCAGTCAGACCAAGGGTGACTGGCTTTTTTTTTTAAATTGTACTTTAGGTGACGGTTTACAGAACAAATATCTTCTCATTAAACAGTCAGTACAAATATTGTTTTATGACATTGGCTAACAACCCCACGACATGTCAACACGCTCCCTTCTCGGCCTCGGAGGACCTTTTTTTTTTTGGTGAAAATATACATAGCCAAAGATACACCATTTCAAAAATTTCTACATGTACAATTCAGTTACATCAATTACATTCTTCAGTTGTGCTGATATCCTCACTTTAGATGAAGGTTTACAGAACAAAATACTTTCTCATTAAACAGTTAGTGCGCATATTGCCCTATGACAATGGTTAACAACCCCACTACATGTCAACACTGTCCTTACTCAATCTTGGGTTCTCTATCACCAGCTTTCCTGTCCCCTTCTGCCTTCTAGTCTTTGTCCCTGAACTGCTGTGCCTCATTAGTCCCGTTATGTTTTATGGGGCTGTCCTATCCCCGGCTGAATGGTGAACCTCGGGAATGACTTCACCAGTGAGCTAAATGGGAGTCTGGGGGCCATACCCTCGGGGTTTCTCCAGTCTCTGCCAGGCCAGTAAATCTGGTCTTTTCTTTGTGAGTGTGACTGGCGTTTGATGGAAGCAGCCAGAAGGATGGAGTTAGCATCAGCTGGTATGGGGAGAGCTGGGTGGGGTCGGACTGTCAGGGGTTGTGCTCAGAAGGCACCGAGCTGGGGATGCCGTTAGTGGCCGGGAGGAGAGCAGGGTCAGCCACAGCATCGAGACTGGGGCTCCAGGGAGGGTGGGGCAGGAGTTTCCCCGTGGAGTCTCCAGAAGGTAGCTGTTCCCAGAAGCCCGAGTCTGCACGCGGCCACCATGAGGGGGTAAGGGGGTGAAAAACCAGAGCAGCGAAGGAGGCAGAACCGGCATGGCATTGAAGTGGGGGACCCAGAAAGTGGGTTCCTGGAAGCCACAAGCCCGCAGACCAGAAGGGAGGAACGTGGCTAGAGAGGAACCCAAAGACAGATCAGGAAGATGCTGCACAGAAGGGTCAGGGTGACCTTGCTGAGAGTGTCTGTTGGGAGGCGGGAGTAGAGGCTGAGAAAATGAGGCCGAGCCCCAAGACTGTATTCCGTGGGTAGTGGGGGCCACGGAACCAGCATGAGCCCTGGGTTTCGGCCCCGCTGTACTGCACACCAGCTCACGGCCCAGACGGAGATTTTGGCGCTGGTGGTTTATCGGGGTGCTCTCAGTCACATCACCTGGGCAGCGTGGGACTCAGGATGCTCCCAAGCTGAAGCGAGGGGCCAGGCTTTGATGCCCCATCATGAATATACCGCTCTGGCTGTGTGCCTTTGCCTCCGTGAAACTCCCGCCTGAGGCCAGCACAAACCTGCGGTCATTTCAAGGAGCAAGAGCTTGACCTCGCTGTCTCCTCGTTAGGAAGGAGTCCCCGGGTGTCGCAAACAGTTAAAGCTCTTGGCTGCTAACTGAAAGCTTGGAGGTTTGAGTCCACCCGGAGGTGCCTTGGAAGAAAGGACTGGTGATCTACTCCCAAAAAATCAGTCATTGAAAACCCCATGGAGCACATGGGTCGCCGTGAGTCAGAGTCAACTCAATGGCAACTTATTTTTTTAGTTTTGTGTTTTGCCTTTTAGTTTGGGAGAACGCCCGTGCCTGGTAAAACCCTCAGGGCCCGTGTGCCCATAAGGCCGTCTTTTGCTTTCAGTGACTTTCCCGCAGCAGGCACGGCGTTGGGAGGTGCCCGTGACATTGGAACAGCCTGTAGGCTCTGGCACAGAGGACCACCCTGGGAGGGGGGGTCAGTGGAAGAACCTTGAGAAGGAGGGTGAGCTGAAAGGCTAGGAGACCCTCAGTCTGGCCCTCCCTGTCACTGAGGAGCATGTCCCAGCCAGAACTTTCCCTCTTCTGTGCCTCCAAGGCAATGACCCAGCCACCCGCTGGGGCCACCTGGTCCTTGGGCTCTGTGGGTTAAATTACTCTCCCTGCTTCTCCAAACCAACAAAACCAGCGCCTTGTCTCCAGAGCTAACTGAGGGGTACAGAGACCTGGGATGGGGGATACGAAAGGGTGTCAGCCCTGATGAACGGCGGTCAGCGCAGCCATAAGCAGATCCTGGCCCAACTGGGAGGCCCAGGCTCTCCAGCTGCAAAGCCTGTGGATAAGAGCTGCTCCAGGAGCCGCCGGGGCTCTTCCAAGGGGTCTCCAGACCCACAGGCTGCAGGGTCTGGCATTGTAAGGAGGCAAGAAGGGAAAAAGCGAGGGGTCACTGGTTGTAGGCGCCAGGGCTTAGGGACACGCCCCCTGGTCCCCTCAGGGTGCCTGGTGCCCAGTCAATGTTACAGAAGGGACAGACTCGGCCCTCCTTGCTTGCACACCAGCAGCTCAGCCTCCAACTATTGCCTCTGCGCAGAGACTAGCTCTGAGCCTAGACTCACCTGGTGACGCAGTGACCTGGTGTCAGGCCCATATCTCGTCCTCACCCTTGGATCAGCCTCGTGGGGCTGCAGTAACACTGCTCTTGTCTGCAGTAACAACTGCGAGATGGACGCGGTGATTGTGTCCATCATCAATGGCTTCACGTCCGTCTACGCAGCCACCGTGGTGTATTCCATCATTGGGTTCCGAGCCACAGAGCATTATGATGAGTGCTTCAACACGTAAGCCACCCCATTGGGGTCCCGGGGCCGGGAAGGGCCTGGGGGCCGCCCACAGAACACGGACTCGTGGACAGGGAGGGAAGTCAGCCTTGCTCTTGCTCCCAGGAACATCCTGACCCTCATGAATGGGTTCGACTTACCTGAAGGTAACGTGACGCAGGAGAACTTCGCAGAGATGCAGCAATGGTGCAATGCCACTGACCCCGTGGCCTACGGAAAGCTGTCATTCCAGACCTGCGACATCAACTCCTTCCTCTCAGAAGTAAGTCCCACGAGGGGCTCTCCCACGTGACACAGGCCACAACAAAGGGATACCCTTTGCCGGAGCCTTCTAGAGTCAGGCCACTGGTTGGAGCCTTTGCTGAGGCCAGTGCTCCTGAGTAAGGGGTGTCTCAGTTACCTAGCGCTGCAGTATCAGAAACACCACAAGTGGGTGTCTTTAAAGGAGCCCTGGTGGCACAAAAATAATCAAAATGTCGGGGTGTGTTTATGTAACTGGTGCAATTCCACAAATAAACAGAATGTCCTAAAGGCAGATGCAATGACCCTTGGTGGCACAAATGGTTGACCGAAAGGTCAGCAGTTCAAACCCACTGGCCACTCCGAGGGAAAGATGTGGCAGTCTGCTTGCGTAAAGATGACAGCCTTGGAAACCCTATGGAGAAGTTCTACTCTGTCCTACAGGGTCATTATGAGTCAGAGTCAATTCGACGGCAGTGGGTAATGGGCAGCTGGCTTTAATGCACAGGAATTTATTTTCTCACAGTTCAAGAGGCTAGACGTCCAAATTCAGGGCACCAACTCTAGGGTAAGGCTCTCTGCTGTTAGCTCTGGGGAAAATCCTTGTCTCAGCTTCTCTGGCCGGCCATTCTTGGAGTCCCTGGGCTTGTAGACTGGTCTGCCTCCACCATCTTCAGATAGTGTTGGTCTTCCCCCGTGTCTGTCTTCTTCTGTGCTTAATCTGCTCTTTTATACCTCAAAAGGGATTGGCTTAAGACACACCCTACGCTGATATGGCCTCATTAACATAATAAAGAAAACCCTATTCCCAAATGGGATTGCATCTATAGGTATAAAAAAACACCAAATCCGTTGCCTTTGAGTCAATTCCAACTCATAGCAACTCTATAGGACAGAGTAGAACTACCCCATAAGGTTTCCATGGAGCAGCTGGTGGATTTCAACTGACAACCTTTTTGATTAGCAGCTGAGCTCTTAACCACTATGCCACCAGGGCTCCAGAAACAACTTTATGGGGGTATAATTATGTGCCATTAAATTCTCCCGTTTTCAGTGTAGAGTTTGCTGAGTCTTTGTACGTATGTACGGCAGGGTCACCATCATCACCATCCATCACCCCAAAGGTCACTCCCACTCTCCCTAAGCACCAGGCAACCACTGAACAGCTTTCTGCCTCTATCACTTCACCTTTTCTAGAAATTTCATAGGAATCAAAGGGAGTTCAGTAGTGGAATTATCATCTTCCATGCAGGAGACCAGGTTCCATTCCTGGCCAATGCAACCCATGCACAGCTACCACCCATTTGTCAATGGAGGCTTGCATGTTCCTATGATGCTGAGCAGGTTTCAGTGGAGCTTCCAGAATAAGACAGACTAGGAAGAAAGGCCTGGAGATGTACTTCTGAAAATTAGCCAATGAAAACCCTGTGGATCTCAACGGTTCCATCCACAACCAATCACACAGGGGGGTGCAGGACCCGGCAGCATTTTGTTCCATTGTGTATGGGGTTGCCATGAGTTGGGGCCAATTCAATGACAGCTAACAACAACATAAATTTCATGGAAACAGAATCATGTATTTTATGGTCTGGTTTCTCTCAGCATTCTCATTTGAGACTCATCCCATTGTTGTGTGCATCCATACTTCATTCCCTCTTTGATGAGTACTGTTCCTTCATAGGAAGGCACCACTGTTGGTTTCCTACACCTTCTTTATAAACTCTTCAGTAGCCTTTCCATAAGCTCCCACAGAGGTGTGTCCATGTGGAGAAGGGATCGATATATTATTGTTCCTGGAACTCAAGCAAATGCTGTTACATTGCCTTCGGAGACCTGGGTTTGTGATAAAATTCCCAAGGCCTCCCATATCCTAATCTTGAGCTGATTCCCTGGAGGGCATTCTGAGAGGCAGGACAGCTCCCCATTAGTCTCTCAGCCCTCCTGAGGCAGCGTTTCTCTCCAGAGACTCTACTGCCATGACCACTGACCACGGGGTGTGGGGGTGGGAAGAGCCGGTACCCCAAGTACTCAGCTGACCGTTTGGGGCTGGAACGCAGCGAAGGGGAGAGCAGCCATGGGGCCTCCAACTACAATACCTGCTTTGCCTCTGCACCGTGAGGCCCCCGGTGCACCTGGCCTGCCCCACAGGCCTGTGGCCGTCCGTGCCAAGGGGCCACCTGAGTTCCCAGCACAGCACCCCATTCAGTGAGTGTTTGCCTCACTCTTGAAAGGTCACCTTAAATCACGGAGCCTTTCTGCCCTCAGGCTGTGTGAGTTGTAAGAGTTTAGAAAGCACCTGTGAGTGAAGAGCCCCTGCAGTGAACAGAAGACTTTCTTGTCTGTGGGTCTGTCATTGTGTAGATGCCAACGTGAGTCTGCGTATCTGTCCTGGGCAGCAGGGGGCTCTGGATGCTGCTGGACAGCTGGAGCCATGTATTGGTTATAAAATGTAGCTCCGCTTTTTAAAATACACTCTGCAGCCTGTTGTTGCTAACTGCTATCAAATTGGCTCTGCCACACGGTGACCCCAGGCACAGTGGCACAAAAAGTCGCCTGGTCTTGCACCACCTTCACCATCCTTGTTATGCTCCAGTCCATTGTGCCTTCTAACTTAGGAGGAAATCCTGGTGGCGTAGTGGTTAAGAGCTACAGCTGTTAAACAAAAGGTCAGCAGTTCAAATCCACCAGGTGCTCCTTGGAAACTCTATGGGGCAGTTCTTCTCTGTCCTATAGGGTCGCTGTGAGTCAGAATCGACTCAACGGCAATGGGTTTTTTTTCTAACTTAGGGGCTCATCTTCCAGCACTGTATCAGATAGTGTTCTGTTGTGATCCATAGGGTTTTCACTGGCTAGTTTTCAAAAGTAGATCTCCAGGCCTTTCTTCTTAGTCTCTCTTAGTCTGGAAGCGCTGCTGAATCCTGTCCACCAAAGGTGACCCTGCTGGTATTTGAAATACCAGTGGCATAGCGTCCAGCATCATAGCAACACGCAATCCACCACAGTATGACAAGCTGACAGATGAGTGGTGGCTCTGGAACTTAGAAAACAATATTGAAAGACTCAAATTAACCAGCAGCACGCACCAACATTGCAAGTGTGGCGGTTGATTACTGACCGGAACTCACGGGGAGAGAAGGAAGGCATGCACACACTGGCGCCCGGCAGATGGAAACCTCGTGGGACATTTCTAGGTGCCTAACGGGACCGGGGGCACATGTTGGTGGTGACGCTGTGTGTCTGTCTGTCTGCTCCCCCTCAGGGCGTGGAGGGCACGGGGCTGGCGTTCATTGTCTTCACCGAGGCCATCACCAAGATGCCGGTGGCCCCACTGTGGTCTGTGCTCTTCTTCATCATGCTCTTCTGCCTGGGCCTGTCGTCCATGTTCGGGAACATGGAGGGTGTGGTCGTGCCCCTGCAGGACCTCAAGATCATCCCTCCCAAGTGGCCCAAGGAGCTGCTCACAGGTTCGTGTGGTGGGTCTCAGGCAGCAAGCTCGGCTGCTGGGCCTGGGGTCCCTCAGCCCGTGCTGAGCTGCATGGACACACCTCAGGGGCAGCAGTGAAGTCCGAGAAGAGGATATGGTCAACCTGGCCACAGGGGAGAGTGGCCAGAGAAGGCTTCTTCCCAACAGAGGGTTACAAAGAGAAGTCCAAGGAGGACCCCAGAGGGCATTACGGGCAGAAGGACCCCAGGAAACAAAGGCATGGGGGTCCTGGGAGTGGCAAATGTCTGGGGTTTGCAGAGTGTGGACAGTGGGGGGACTGTGTGCCGGGCCCAGGCATGCGGACCTTATCATCCTGTGGGTGTAGACCCCACCATCCTGTGGGTTCTAAGGGGGGCATTCTGGAGCATTCCAACAGGGAGCCACATGGGCAGGGCTTGGAACTATGGGCATTAATGGAGAGGCTCAGTGGGGGTCATCAGACCACCGTTACCACCAATAGAGGCAATAGCTAAGCCAGGGCCACCCACACATCAGTGGGCTGGCGAGGGCAGGGGGCCTAGAGAGCCATGGCAGGGAGTCAGCATCACTCTGTCCAATCCGAGGCAGATGCAGCCGCAGGGGACAAGCAACGGCCAGTAGAGAGGACGGATGTCGGGGCAGGGAGAGCCACAGAAGCTGGGTCGGAGGTAGAGTGGGCTTTAGGGGGAGATTGTGTTGGCAGCGCAGCCCTGTAGAGAGGCCGGCACACAGGCAAGGACAGGGACGTTATCTAGGAGGCCAGCAGGACTTTGGACGCGGTTTGAGTGGGGCGGGGCGAGGTGGGGCGGGGCAGGGTGTGGATAGGCTGTGCAGTCAGGGAGGATGGTGACAGGCAGCAGCTGGGGGCTGCGAGGGAAAGGGGGGGTGCTTGCTTGTTTGGGGGGTGGGGAGATCTGGTCAGACAAGTCCTGACAAGGATGGAAGAGATGATATGGTGACTCCGCTGTGGGTGGGAGCTGGCTCGGGAAGCAGACGGGGCACTGGGGGTAGGACCTTCTGACTCCATCTGGCCCCCGGTCCTCGGGTTCTCCCAGGCTACACATCAGCCCCCAGGAACACTCTCTTTAAGGGACACCAGACACTTGGACCTCAGAGACGTTGTTGTTTGGATAGAAAACCAATTCCATTACTCAAGTGCTGGCCACACTGCTGGGAACGTGATTTGATTTCCTGAAATCCCATTTGTGGGCCACACACATGGAGAACACGAACTGAAGTTTGCAGAAAGGCTTCAGCACAGACTCCTTAGAGCAGGACAGGTTAGCCTTGCAGCTGGAGGCTGAACTTTAAGACTTTTAAACAGTTATTTTTATGGGAAAAAAAAAAATTCTTCCCAAACACCGTTTGTTCTTCTGTTTACTGTTCCATGAATTGGAATTTTTAAGTCCAAAGTTTAATGCAACAACATGAAAGCAGGATTCATTATGGCCTTGGGACGTGTCTATAGAAAGTTTCTCAGATGTGCAAATCCCCAAGGCTCGTGGGCAGGGGTGTTTCCCAGCCAGACCATAGCCTGGGACCTGCACTGGGACCCCCTCAGGTAACACCCTCCCTGTCTGCCCGCAGGCCTGATCTGCCTGGGGACCTACCTCATCGCCTTCGTCTTCACCCTGGAATCAGGCCAGTACTGGCTCTCCCTGCTGGACAGCTACGCAGGCTCCATCCCACTGCTCATCATCGCCTTCTTCGAGATGTTCTCTGTCGTCTACGTGTACGGCGTGGACAGGTAGGTGGGGAGAGCGACACCTGATGGTGGTGAAGAGCCAGGTCACAGGAGAGCTCCTTCCAGGGGTGGTGGAGACTGCTGACTCATGGGGCTTTCGGGGGTTTGCAGCACGGGGAAAGAGAACCATGTACAGATGCAGGGCCTCAGCAGGTCGTTAAAACCAAGCGTGAATTTACTTCCATCAGAACAGCATGGGATTGGCACTGGGCCGGTGAGATGGGGAAGAGAACCCCGAATATGTGGGACTTAATGTCTGGCTGAGGTGGCACCTCCAGTCCCGGCCAGCGTAACTTGATTTCCAGAAGCAATCCAGACTGTCCTCTCCAGCTTCCAGGGGTTCTCTAGATCGAACTGTAAGCAGACAAGAAATTAACACTAATATTAGGAGACTATGTTTAGTAACCTGGGGTGTAGGAAGGAGTCCCTGGGTGGTGCAAATGGTTAATGTGCTCAGCTACTAATTGAAAGGTTGGAGTTGCGAGTCACCCCAGAGGCACCTTGGAAGAAAGACCTGCCGATCTACATTCAAAATTTCAGCCTTTGAAAACCCTGTGGAACACAGTTCTACTCTGACACACATGGGTCATCATGAGTTGGAATGGACCCAATGGCAACTTGTTACACCCCTCCTCACACTTTCAGTGATTCAGCATGGAGTCCCCAAAGCAGGAACCTTGGTCAAAGGGCTTGTCCTTTGTATATTTAATAGATACTGTCAGATTATTTTCTAAAGGTGTAGGGATTCCAACTCCTACGAAGAATAAAAACCAGTTGCCATCAAGTTGACACTGACTCATGATGACGCCATGTGTGTCAGAGTAGAACTGTGCTCCATGAAGTTTTCGGTGACTGTTTATCTGAAGTAGATCTCCAGGCTTGTCTTCCCAGGCACCCCTGGGTGGACTCAAACCTCCAACCTTTCTTTTAGCAGTTGAGTACGCTAACCGTTTTCACCACCAAGGGACTCCTAAGGATATATGTATAGGAGCTTATTTCAGCATTAAGTGAGTGACAAAAAAACTTGAACCCACCTAGCTGGTAACAATAAAGGAAGATTGAGTAGCACAGGCCCACTGTACTATGCTGTAATAGTATGCAAATATTAACAAAGCATGCCTTTGAATTATGGTGTTGGCGAAGAATACTGAATATACCATGCCAAAAGAACAAACAAATCTGTCTTGGAAGAAGTTCAACCAGAATGCTCCTTAAAAGCAAGGATGGTTAGGCTTCATCTCACATACTTTGGACATGTTATCAGGAGAGACCAGTGCCTGGAGAAAGACCTCATACTTCGTAAAGTAGAGGGTCAGCAAAAAAGAGGACTACCCTCAGAGAGAGATGAATTGACACAGTGGCAGTAACAATGGGCTCAAGCATAAAAAAGATTGTGAGGATGGTGCAGGACCAAGCATTGTTTATTCTGTTGTACATAGTCAGAACTGACTCGATGGCACCTAAGAACAACAGCAAAACATATTGAGGTGGAAATGCACGGGTTTGTCAAAAGACAAATAATAAGTCAGAAGAAATAGTTGCAGCTCACGTAGCAGATAAAGCACTGCAGGCCCATGTCACCTGGTGGGAAGTAAGGAGTATAGCATTCTAAAGGTGATGCACATGTGTCTGATTGAATCCAGACACTTAGGGCCCAAGGGTAACAAGCAATGCTGTCTCAAAGACACAATGAGAGAGGGGAGTGAACTAAGTGATGGGCACCTAGAGAGAAGATCAGTCACCGCACCAATCCCCAAAGCACCCTTCTGGGGCCGTCCTGGGTTCCAGACCTGGGCTTGCGCCTACTTCTCCAGAAAGGTCCTCTTGCTTCTGTTGAGGGCCAGTTTTGTCTGTTGCATTCTGGCTTCTCCAGACAGTAAATTTGTTTGTGCAGAAGAGGTTTCTGCATAGGAGGGGCATTGTCTTAGTCATCTAGTGCTGCTATAACAGAAATACAACAAGTGGATGGCTTTAACAAAGAGAAATTTATTCTCTCACAGTCTAGGAGGCTAGAAGTCTGAATTCAGGGTGATAGTTCCAGGGAAGGCTTTCTCTCTCTGTTGGCTCTGGGGGAAGGTCCTTGTCATCAATCTTCCTCTGGTCTAGGAGCTTCTCAGTGCAGGGACCCTGGGTCCAAAAGATGTGCTCTGCTCCTGACTATTCTTGCTTGATGGTACTGATATCCCTCCCCTCTCTGCTCACTTCTCTCTTTTATATCTCAAAAAAGATTGACTCAAGATACAACCTAATCCTATAGATTGTGTCCTGCCACATTAACGTAAGGGACAGCTCACTTCCAAACAGGATCATAACTATGGGTATAGAGGCTAGGATTTACAACACATAAGATAATCACATCAGATCACAAAATGGAGGACAACCACGCAATACTGGGAATCATGGCCTAGCCACGTTGACACACATTTTGGGGGAACACAATTCAATCCATAACAGGCATCAAGCACTAGGGTAGGAAATAGGGGGCTTCAGGGACCCCCACACAGCCAAGGGCTGTTAGGTCTCTTTTGGAAAGAGAGGATGAGAAGGAGTGTTTCGGTGGCTTTGTCTCCTCATTTTCCCCAGAATCTTTGACCCTCTATTTTGCATTAAAAATGGGGATGCCAGAACACTTAACTGTGCTCATGAGAACCTGTACACAGAAAAAGAGGCAGTTGTCCACACAGAACAAGGGAATACTGCGTGGTTTCAAGTCAGGAAAGGTGTGCGTCAGGGTTGCATCCTTTCACCATACCTATTCAATCTGTATGCTGAGCAAATAATCGGAGAAACTGGACTATTTGAAGAAGAATGGGGCATCAGGATTGGAGGAAGACTCATTAACAACCTGCAATATGCAGATGACACAACTTTGCTTGCCGAAAGTGAAGAGGACTTGAAGCACTTACTGGTGAAGATCAAAGACCACAGCCTTCAGTATGGATTACTCCTCAACATAAAGAAAACAAAAATCCTCACAACTGGACCAATAAGTAACATCATGATAAACGGAGAAAAGATTGAAGTTGTCCAGGATTTCATTTTACTTGGATTCACAATCAACATCCATGGAAGCAGCAGTCAGGAAATCAAAAGATTCATTGCACTGGGCAAATCTGCTGCAAAAGACCTCTTTAAAGTGTTGAAAAGCAAAGATATCACCTTGAAGACTAAGGTGAGCCTGACCCAAGCCATGGTATTTTCAATCACATCATATGCATGCGAAAGCTGGACAGTGAATAAGGAAGACCGAAGAAAAATTGATGCCTTTGAATTGTGGTGTTGGCAAAGAATATTGAATATACCATGGACTGCCAAAAGAACAAACAAATCTGTCTTGGAAGAAGTACAACCAGAATGTTCCTCAGAAGGAAGGATGGCAAGACTATGACTTACATACTTTGGACATGTTATCAGGAGGAATCAGTCCCTGGAGAAGGACATCATGCTTGGTAAAGTACAGCGTCAGTGAAAAAGAGGAAGACCCTCAATGAGATGAATTGACACAGTGGCTGCAATAATGCGCTCAAGCATAACAACGATTGTGAGCACGGCTCAGGACTAGGCAGTGTTTCGTTCTGTGGTGTGTAGGATCGCTACGAGTCAGAACCAACTTGACGGCACCTAACAACAACAATTTTGCATAAAGAGTTCCTGGGTGGCGAGATAGGTCAGGTGCTCACTGTTAAAGGTTGAAGGTTCAAGTCCACCCAGAGGCACCTCAGACGAAAGTCCTGAGGATCTATGTCTGAAAAATCAGCCTTTGAAAATGCTATGGAGCACAGTACTACTCTGAAACACATGGGGTTGCCATGAATCAGAGTCAACTCAATAGCAACTGATTTTCTAAATTTTGCTTAAGGTACTAAGCCAGAAGTTTGATGAGGATGATGAGGTCTCTAACAATGTATTTACAAGTCCAAGGTCTGGGTGGTGGTCCCTTAGGACACCCAGGGTTTCTACAGATGTCCAGGGAAAGAGATGGCTTCTGGCTGTAGCTTCAGAGGAAGGCTTCTCAGGGCTGACAGCATCTTTACCTGCAAGGATGGTTAGGATTTGGACCAGGGGAGATCGGGGCATGGTGCTCCAGCACCACAGCTTTGTGTCCAGGTGCCGGAGACAGTGGACTCTCTTTTGTCTTGATGAGTAGTGGTCTGCCCACCAGGTGACTGCTCTCCTTTCTGGCTTTGGCTTCCAGGTTTAATAAGGACATTGAGTTCATGATCGGCCACAAGCCCAACATCTTCTGGCAAGTCATGTGGAGAGTGATCAGCCCGCTACTCATGCTGGTCATCTTCCTGTTCTTCTTCGTGGTCAAGGTTAACGAGGAGTTGATATACAGCGTCTGGAACCCGGAGTCTGTGAGTGCCAGATCGTCAACCTGGGGTCAGGGTGGGGAGAGGCAGCAGGTCAGGTTCCCCTGTGAGGAGGGTGGGGAAAGGGGGCGTGGGACTGGGAAAGCAGGGAGAGGCACGTGGGGGGAAGAGGGAGGGCTGGGAAAGGCAGGAGGTGGTGCATGGGAGACGGGGAGGCACGTGGGGGTGGGAGGAGGGTGTGGGATAGGGCACAGGGCGTGTGGCAGTCATGGGGTTAAGGCAGCATTTTGCCCTTCTCCCTGTGGCCCACCTGAAGGAGACCTCCACTTGCTCCCCATGTGTCACTCACCCAGTTGTGACTTTCTCCCCAGCCGGAATTTCCCAAATCAGAGAAAACCCCATACCCCGGCTGGGTCTATGCCGTGGTGGTCATCGTGGCAGGGGTGCCTTGCCTCGTCATCCCTGGCTTCGCCATCTACAAGTTCATCCAGAACCGCTGCCAGAGGCGCGGGGACCAGCAAGGGCTGGTCAGCACCCTGTCGTCATCGGTGAACGGAGACCTCAAGTACTGAGTGGAGCATGCAGTCCACGGGCAGGTGCACACCTGGACTGGTATGCGAGAGGAAGTGCCGCCAGCAGGGCCCGCAGAGCAGCAGCCAGGCTGTACGTGTGTCTGTGCATATGTGTGCATACGTGTGTGTGTATTTGTGCATGTATGTGTGTGTTAAATGTGTGTGGTGTGTGTGTACATTTGTGTATACATGTACGTACATGTGTGTATATGTGTGTAGTATGTGTATGCATGTATGTGTATGTGATGTGTGTGCGTATGTGTACACATGTGTGCACACATGCATGTGTGGCTGTTGTCCTGCGGCACACACACCTCTTGCCTGCATCGCGGACGCAGTGGGGACATGCACTGCTGCCCCTTGAGACGAACTTCTGCTGTGCCCTGCATGTCCTCCATGGGAAAGGCAAAACCTAAGGCGTGGAGAGGTCGCACCTACAGTGTTTCACATGCAACACAAGACCACGAGAGACAGGAGCAAGTGTTGCCATCTCAGCTCCCCAGAAAGACTCTCGTTGCCCCTCCCCTGCACCCCTTCCCCTTGCTGGTGACCCCTGGATCTAAGAACTCCCGCAGTAACGGTCTGGCCTTTCCTCTCGCGATGAGGACGAGCCCTCGGCCGGAGCTGCTCTCATGCCATCTAGATCAGCCTGAGCAGGTCAGCTGGCCGGTGGCCAGTTTGGGAAGTGTGGCTGCTGCGTCTCATCCTGCCGCTGAGCCAGGTCTCCCAGAGGTCTCGAGTCCTTGGCCACATCCTGGCTTAATGAATGCTCACAAATTTAATCATTGCTTCTGGCCACCACAGATAGATGAACAGTTAAATAAAACAAACGTTGCATAATTTAAAGAAGATGCCACCCTTTGGGTTTTGTTAAGAGAATATTAACTGCATGAATTTCGAGCCTGACGTTGGAAAAGACGGGTTATATGGTAACTTGGCCCTGGCCACTATCGCCCGGGGTGCTCGATGGCTTCTTGGCAACTTCAGCGATGAAGCCAGTGTCAGCTTCTTGCCTTTTCTTTCATGGATGAATTGTTTTCTGGGATTTGACGTCCAACCTTAGCCAAAGTTGCTTAGTATTTTGGGTGTTTGCTTCAATGAACTGGTCATCTCCTCTTTCTGTGGAAAATTCTAGAAGTTTAACTTAAACTGGACTTCCTGGAAATCCTTACGCACAGGGGTAAGTGATTCTGTCGGAGAGTGACTGCCTGGACCCTGGTGGTCCCTCGGTGCCATGTCCCTTCCGCTTGGTGACACCCCAGTAATGCTCTCACCTTTTCCAGCACCTTTCATCCAATCGTGGCCAAATACTGAAGCCCCCCAGCTCCAGCTGTCTGGACCTTTCAGATGTCCAGTGGTGTCCCCGAGTCCAACTACCAGATGCTTCCATCAGACAGTGGCTGGTCACCTGGACATCGTGGTTGATAAGCCCTGTGGAGACAGAGGCAAGCTGCTGAACCCCACGACTATGTCCCAAACGTACCTGCGGGGACAGGGAATGAGGTTCTTCAGCCATCTTTCTGGCCTCCCAACCCTGTCTACAGATGGACTCAGTGGGATCGCTATCTTAGTTTCTTCCCAAAGTCCTTTGACCACCCATTAGAAAAACACAGATCAGTGCCCTGTCCCTATACTTGCCCGTGTGACATCTGCCCCACAGCAAACCTGAGACCCCCACCCAGCTGTGCACCTGAAGGGAGACCCCTTATGATCAGTCTGCCCGGCAGCGGGAGGGGAGAGCCCCTGTACACAGTGTGCCTGGGCAGGGGGAGGGGAGAGCCCCAGTGTGCCCTGGTATGCCCTGGTGTGCCCGGGCAGGGGGAGGGGAAGGCCCTGGTGTGCCTGGTGTCCTGGTGTGCCCGGGCAGGGTGATGGGAGAGCTCTGGTGTGCCCTGGTGTGCCGGGGCAGAGGGAGGGGAGAGCCCTGGTGCCCTGGTGTGCCTCGGTGTGCCCGGGCAGGGGGAGCGAGTGGCCACGCTTGCGTATTTACTAACCAGGCACTATTTTACGTGCTTCTGTGTCTATGTCGACATGTTAGCTGTGTATGGTGTGTGGCACAGAGTACACTGCGGAAATAAATCACCTCTGTTTAATGCTCCTGCCTGCACAGTGTGTTGTCTGAATTCAGAGTGAAGTGGCACAGACCTCGGAGGCCACACCCAGGGCTCAAGGGAAACCACAGAGGAGGAAACTGGCCCAGAACGTGGGTGCTGTTCAAGCTCCCGCTGTCCGGTCTGGTTTCAGGAGGTTTCTCTGAAGAAGCCACAGCGCCGGGTCCACGTGACTCCGCACACAGTGGGACATAGGTGCCCTGGGGGCTGTGGTGCCTACTCGCCTACTGAGGTCCCACGTGGCCCTGCCTGGCTGGGTGGGAGCCAGTTGGCATCGGGTGACCCTGGGCCTCTGGACTAGGAGGCTGCTGGCTGAGACCAGATAGGTGTCTGGTGGGTCAGAGAAAGGGAAGGAGGAGTGACTTCAAAACACGTGGAAAAGTGCAGGCCAGGTAAGCCCCGCTTGGAACACCTCTCCAGGCCTCTCAGGGACCTCACCACCTCTCTCTCCCCTCCCCTCCTGTCCATCGTATTTGACGCTCCCTATTCTCATGTTTTCCTCTCATACAAAAGAGGATCTTTCGAAAAAGCGCCCACATGGGTCCCACACTCCTAGGACTCACAAATTTGGAACTGAGAGGTGTAGCATCCATGGGGACATGAGATGCAAAGAGGCAGGGGCCCCAGCCTGAATCTGGTAGAAGATTCTGAAAGGCATTAGTTCCATGCCTCCCGGGATGCAAGCCCCTTAGCACTGATTCATCAGGTGGAAACATGCCACCTCTAGGGCAGAGAGGGCACCAGGACCCTCTCAGGGCCCTGCACCCGGGACCACTCCTCCCATTGGCCCTGGGGTGGGGGTTGCCACTGCCCACCCATAGACAAGGAGGCAGCAAGGCCCCCAGGCAGGAGGAGGGCTAAGAATGGGGTGCAGGCAGCCAACCTCAGAACCCCCATGCCATGGGGTGTGGGTTGCCCCCAGGAGAGAGCAGAGGACTCCCATTCCCCCACTGCCCGGGTGCTCCCACTACCCTCTTCCTCCCCCCAAATACACAGAAAGAGTCGCCCGAGAGTGGCAGCAGAAGCAGTTGGGGAGTGGGTGCTGAGGGTGGGGGAGAGCAGCAGGGCCATCATGAGGCGGTCTCTCAACCTAGGAGCCACCCTCAGCTCCTCTGTGGTAGCAGGGTCCCATCCATGGTGCTAGGGTGGGGGTTAAACTGGGCGAGGGCTCCAGGCACCAGGCTGGGGACCCTGGATCCAATGCACCCCCTGTGATGGTTGCATCAGCATGTCTGTGTGTGGTGGGGGGCAGCCCTATCAAGCAAGATAGCTCTTCCAGGACATCTTTAAAAGAGGAACATTTAGAATCAGCTGGAGATTTCAGGATTCAGACCATTTGAGAACTCAGGAAATCCCTTTTAAAAATAAATGTGGCTTGAAATCTAAGAAGCCACTTCCACTCGACCCAGCAATCTCACTCCTCAACATTTATCCCAGAGAATGAAGACCTGTGTCCACACGCACACCCACACAGGGGTGTGCATAGCAGCTTTAGTCCCAACAGCAAGAAACTGGAGACGACCCAATGTCCTTCAGCAGGTGAGTAGTTAGTCCAGCTGTGGTACACCTGGGGATACTCAGCAATAAAAGGAAAAAGCTATTGATACATGCAACCACCTGGAGGAGTCTCCGGGAATGATGTGGAATTAAAAAGCCAATCCCAAGAGGTCACATTCTCTGTGAATCTACTTACATGATTGTCTTAGTCTGCTAGTGCTGCTATAACAGAAATGTCACAAGTGGGTGGCTTTAAAGAACACATGTTTATTCTCTCACAGTTCTGGAGGCTAAAAGTCCAAATCAGGGTCTCAGCAGTGTGATCCCTTCTGCAAGCCTCTCTCCTAGTTCTGGTGTCTGCTAGTGATCTTTGGTGTTCCTTTGCTTGTAGATTTTCTTCACACGTGGTCTGTCTTCTCCCATGTGTGACTCTGTGTCAAATCTACTTTCATAACTCAGAAGTGATTAGATTTATAACCCTCCCTACTCAGGTATGACCTGTTAACCTAACAAAGAAAACCCTATTTCCAAACAGGGTTACACCCACAGGTATAAATCAAAACAAAATCCATTGCTATGGAGTTGACTTTGACTCATGGTGACCCCATGTGTGCAAAGTAGAACTGCACTCAGTAAGGTTTTCATGGCTGTGACTTTTCAGAACAAGATTGCCAAGTCTTTCTTCCAAGGCACCTCTGGGTGGGTTGGAATTGCAAACCTTTCAGTTACTAGTTGAACACTCAACCGATTGCACTACCCAGGGACTCCTCCACAGATATAACCCGCCACCACCAAGCGATTCTGACTGATAACAACCCTATTGGACAGAATAGAACTGCCCCATAGGGTTTTCCAAGGAGTGCCTGGTGGATTCAAACTGCCAACCTTTTGCTTAGCAGCTGAGTTTTCAACCACTGCACAACCAGGGCTCCCCTCCGCAGATATAGGGGTTAGAACTCCAGCACATATTTTGGGGGAACACAATTCAATCCATAACAATAGCATTCTTGAAATGACAAAATTATGGAACTACAGATTTGTAGTTGCCAGGGGTTGAGGAAGGAAAGAGGGAGTCCTGGTGGCTCAGTGGTTGAGCTTTTGGCTGCTAATCGAAAGGTCAGTGGTTTGAACCCATCAGCTGCTCTGTGGGAGGAAGATGTGACAGTCCGCTTCCCTAAAGATTACAGCCTTGGAAACCCTATGGAACAATTCTACTCTGTCCTACAGGGTAGCTATGAGCCAGAATCCACTCAATGGCAACTGATTTTGTTTGGTTTTTTGGTAAGGAAGAAGAGGGTATAGGGGCAAAGTGGTTGTGGCTATAAAAGGGCAGCAGGAGGGATCCTGGTTGGATGGAATGGTCTGTATCTTGACCGTGTCAATGTCGGTATCCTGGTTGTGAAATTGTTCTACAGTTTTGCAGAATGTTACCATTGGGGGAAGCTGGATAAAGGGTACGGTGCATCTCTTTGTATAGTTTCTTACCACTACATGTGAATCTACAATTATGTCAAAATAAAATGTTTCACTAAAATGTTAATTACTTTTCCAACAAAGAGAACTTTGAAAAGGAAATCAAGAAAACAATACCATTTATAACAGGCTCTGAAAAGATAAAATACTTAAGAATAAATCTAACCAGGAATGTAACCATTCCCTGAAGAAGGACATCATGCTTGGTAGAGTAGAGGGCCATTGAAAAAGAGGAAGACCCTCAATGAGATGGACTGTCACAGCGGCTGCAACAGTGGAATCAAGCATAACAATGATTGTGAGGATGGCACAGGACCGGCCGGTGTTTCATTCTGTTATACGTAGGATCACTATTAGTCGGAACCAACTTGACAGCACCTAACAACAACAACATGGATGTAAAAGACATATACAAAGAAAACTACAAAACACTATTGCAAGAAACCAAAAGAGACCTACATAAATGGGAAAACATACCACACTTATGGATAGGAAGACTCAACATAGTGTCAATCTACCCAAGGCAATCTACAGATACAATGCAATCCCGATCCAAATACCATCAACACTTTTTAATGAGATGGAAAAACTAATCATCAACTTTACATGGAAAGGGAAGAGGCCCCAAATAAGCAAAGCATTATTGAAGAACAAGAACAAAGTAGGAGGCCTCACACTACCTGATCTCAGAACCTACTATATAGCCACGGTAGTCAAAACAACCTAGTAGTGGTATAACAACAGACACACAGACCAATGGAAAAGAATGGAGAACCCAGACATAAATCCATCCACCTATGGTCAGCTGATCTTTGACAAAGGACCAAAGTTCATTAAATAGGGAAGAGACAGTCTTTTTAACAAACAGTGCTGGCAAAACTGGATATCCATCTGTAAAAAAAAAAAAAAGAACTGAAACAGGATACATACCTCCCACCATGCAAAAAAAAACTAACTCAAAATGGATCAAAGACCTAAATATAAAACCTAAAATGATAATGATCATGAAAGAAAAAATTATGGACAAAGCTAGGGGTCCTAATACATGGCATAAATACAATACAAACCATAACTAACAATGCACAAACACCAGAAGAGAAACTAGATAACCGGGAGTTTCTAAAAATTAAATACTGATGCTCATCAAAAGACTTCACCAAAAGAGTAAGAAGAGAACCTACAGACTGGGAAAAAAAAATTTAGCTATGACATATCTGACAAGGGTCTAATCTCTAAACTCTATAGAATACTTCAACCCCCCAACAACAAAAAGACATATAATCCAATTAAAAAATGGGCAAAGGATATGAACAGACACTTCACCAAAGAAGACATTCAGGTGGCTAACAGACACATGAGGAAATTCTCGAGATCGTTAGCCATTAGAGAAATACAAACCAAAACTACTACGAGATACCGTCTCACCCTGACATTACTGGCACTAACAACAACAACAAAAAGAAAATAACAAATGTTGGAGAGATTACGAGGAGACTGGAACTCTTATGCACTGCTGGTGGGAGTGTAAAATCGTATAATCACTATGGAAAATGATATGGTGCCTCCTTAAAAAGCTAGAAATAGAAATACCATATGGTCCAGCAAACCCACTCCTAAGAATATATCCTAGAGAAAGAAAAGCCATCATACGAATAGATATATGCACACCCATGTTCATTGCTGCATGATTCACAATAGCAAAAAGATGAAGACAACGTAAGTGACCACCAACAGATGAATGGATAAACAAATTATGGTACATACACACATGGAATACTACACAACAATAAAGAACAAAGATTAATCTGCAAAACATCTCACAACATGGATAAATCTAGATGGCATTATGCTGGGTGAAATAAGTAAATCACAAAAGGACGAATACTGTATGAGACCACTATTATGAAAATCCAAGAAAAGTATTACACACAGGAAAAAAAGAAAAACAATCTTTGATGGTTACAAGGGAGGGGAGGGGTGGGGAGAAGAAATCACACTAACTAGACAGTAGGCAAGTGTTAACTTTGGTGAAGGGAATGACAACACACAATATAGGGGAAGTCAGCACAACTTGACCAAGGCAAAGTCATAGAAGCTTCCTAGACACATCCAGACAACTAAAGGGACCAAGTTACTGGAGCTGAGGGCTGGGGGCCATGATCTCAGGGGTCATCTAGCTCAACTGGCGTAACATAGTTTATAAAGAAAATGTTCTACATCCTACTTTGGTGAGTAGCATCTGGGGTCTTAAAAGCTTTCAAGTGGCCATCCAAGATATATCTATTGACCCCATCACGTTCGGAGCAAAGGAGAATGAAGAAAACCAAAGACACAGGAAAATACTAGTGCAAAGGACCAATGGACCACATGAACCATAGCCTCCACCAGCCTGAGCCCAGAAGAACTAGATGGTGCCCGGCTACCACACTGACTGATCTGACAGGGATCACAATAGAGGGTCCCGGACGGAGCGGAAGAAAAATGTAGAACAAAATTCAAATTCAAAAAATGACCAGACTTGCTGGTCTGATAGAGACTGGAGGAACCTCGAAACCATGGTCCCTGGACGCCCTGCTAACTCAAAACTGAAACCACTCCCGAAGTTCAGCCTTCAGCCAAAGGTTAGACAAGCCTGTAAAACAAACAATAACACGTGAGGAACGTGCCACTTAGAACAAGCAAGTATATGAGACCAAAGGGACAACACCTGCCCAAAAGCAAGGACAGAAGGCAGGAAGGGACAGGAAAACTGGACAAATGGACGGGGAACCTTGGATGGAAAAGAAAAGGGGGAGAGTGCTGACACATTGTAGGGATTGCAACCAGTGTCACAAAACAATTTGTGTATAAATTTTTTAATGAATAGTAGTTTGTGCTGTAAACTTTCACCTAAAGCACAATTTAATTAAAAAAATTAATTTTTAAAAGTAACTAAAGGTGCCCCATCTGAGGAATCCCTGAATGTCCACAATAACGAAGACAAGGTGGCACTATGGCCACCAGGAGACATGACGGCAGGGGCTGGAGGACTCAGAGGTCAGAGAGGGACTGCCCGAATAAGCACAAGAACTTAGCCACGAGTTACCAATTAACTGAGCTCGACTAGTTTTCCTTTAAATAAATGGGCCTTGCAGTGCTGGGCACAGTGGGAGGGCACGCCCTGCCCCCAAGTGCCAGGGCCCCGCAGTCACCGCATTCAGTCTGCACTTGGTGGGGACGAGAAGCATGGCCTGCGCCCTGGAACCAGAGCCGCTTGCAGAGGACAGCGGGGACGAGAGGCCCAAGTGGGACAACAAGTTACAGTACCTCCTGAGCTGCATTGGGTTTGCCGTGGGGCTGGGGAACATATGGAGGTTCCCATACCTGTGCCAGACCTACGGAGGAGGTAAGCGGCCCACCTGCGCCCTACGCGATGGCAGTCCCACTCGCAGATGGTCCACTCCTGTCCTGTGCGTCCTCCAGGTGGGAGGAGGATGCCAACAGCACCTCCACCTGTTTGGTGCTGGCTGCTGGCTTGCCCTTCCTGGGGCAGTAGCTGTTCCCAGGAACGATCAACATGCCATTACCCAAAGACCAACCCCAGCCCTTTGCATCCATCTGATGGTGTCTGTGCCTTTCAGAATTTCAGAGGAACCCTTCCCAACAGGTGCCAGAGAGTAGAATTAGTGACACCGCTCATTACTTGTTACTCACTGCTTCTAGGAGCAATGGCCAGTCTATAAATCTGGAATGTGCCAATGCTTCTAGGAAAACATACATTGTGGCAATTGTAAACACCATCACTTTAGATTTCCAGATGCATACTCACGAAAGGAGTCCCTGGGTGGTGAAATGGTTAAGCGCTAGACTACTAGACAAAATTAGTGGTTCGAGTCCTCCCAGAGGAGTCTCAGGAGACAAGTCTGGTGATGTGCTTCCAAAAGGTCACAGCCTTGAAAACCCTCTGGAGCAGTTCTACTCTACACACATGGGGTGATCGTGCGTCAGTGTTGACGGCAAACAACAACAACATTCTCGTGGAGCTATTTATTTCCTCCTGGTTCTTGCATGAAGGCATTTTTGGAAGCAGGAACACCAGACAACAGCAGGGCAAAAGAGCCCCCACCCCTCCCAGAGGCCCCCTCACTGTCCCATAAGTCTTGCCCTGAATCACCAAAGAGTGTGTCATGTAGAACATGATTAAAGCAACCCTCAGTATAGTGGTCATGCTAGTAAATGGCCATAAATGTCTGAGCAGTCATAATCAAGTTAAAAAACTAGCTGCCATCGAGTCGATTCTGACTCACGGCAATCTCATATATGTCAGAGTAGAACTGTGCTCCATAGGGTTTTCAGTGGCTGATTTATCGGAAAAAGATCAACAGGCCTTCCTTCTGAGGCACCTCTGGGTGGACTCGAATGTTCAACCTTTCAGTTAAGTGGCCAAGTGTGTTAACTTTTTGCACCACCCAGCGACTCGATAATCAACTTACCAAAAAAAAACAAGCCAGTTACCGTCGAGTCAATTCCAACTCATCGTGACCCTATAGTGCAGAGTAGAACTGCCCCATAGTGTTTCCAAGGAGTGGCTGGTGGATTTTGAACTGCTGACCTTTTGGTTAGCAGCCAATCTCTTAATCACTGCACCACCAGGACTCCGTAATCAACTTAGCAATTGTTAAATGCCTACTGCATGCCTGGAAGTTGTTCTAGAAACTTTCCTTCTTTGATCCTCATAACCCACCAGGTGAGCACAATCAGTCCAGCTTCACATACCAAAACCAAACCCGTTGCCATCGAGTCAATTCCGACTCATAGTCGGACCCTGTAGGACAAAGTAGAACTGCCCCATAGGGTTTCCAAGTAGAAGCTGGTGGATTTGAACTCCTGACCTTTTGGTTAGCTGCAGAACACTTAACCACTGCGCCACCAGGGCTCCCCAGCTTCACATGGAGGATGTTAAATAAGCACTGAGACTGTGTCACTGCGGTGCCCTGTGTGTCTCCTGTCCTCCCCCCTCCAATGGGCACTACAGAAGGTGAAGAACAGCCATTCTTATCAACAGCTGTACTCACAGACGTTTGTGGAGGTTTTCTCTGTTTTTGAAAAACTTGTTTAGGATCTACTTCCAGGTGTGAAATCACTCATCAAATGCCATGAAATATTTGAATTCCTTTAACTCATACTTCTCCTAAAGACTGTACTGATTCGCACTCTGCTTTCCGTGTGGGAGTGCCCATTTTTGTCTCATTTTTACCAGCATTGATATTTTGAAAATAATCTAAAATTTGATATGCACATAATGTATCAAATGCTTTAATTTGCATAAAGTCATTATGACTGAAAGTGAACATTATTTTCTCTCCGATTCATAATTATTCAGCTTTGTAAATTTTCAATTCAAGGATAACACTTTTAAAGCAACATTGTTAACAGAATTCAGTAAAATATTTCAATAAAGATTTACAGTAGTTTTATGACATAAATACTGTTTTAGGGTGAGCTGATTTATTATGTATTGAAAAAAAAAGTTGCCATCGAGTCAATTCTGACTCATAGTGACCCTATAGGAAGAAGAGAATCGCCCTATAGGGTTTCTAAGGAGCAGCTAGTGGATTCAAACTGCCGACCTTTCAGTTAGCAGCCGTAGCTCTTAACCCCTGTGCCACCAGGGCCCCTTTGTGTAATTAGCACCTTCATATCAAAGGAATGAGCGTTCATAAAATCCAAGATGGTTGATTTAGGTTAGCTAGCTGAAATACTTTTTAAATCTTTGCTGGGTTTCAGGCAAAGGAGCTCCGGTGGCGCAGTGGTTAAGTGCTTGGCTGCTAACTGAAAGGTCAGTGGTTCAAACTCACCCGCAGCTCCATGGGAGAAAGATGTGGCAGTCTGCTTCTGTAAAGATTACAGCTTTGGAAACTGTATAGGACAGTTCTACTCTGTTGTACAGAGTCCCTGTGAGTCGAAATCGACTTGACGGCAAAGGGTTTTTTTATAGTACTGGAAGATGAGCTTTCTGAGTTGTCTCTTATAAAAAGGGAAAAGAGATAGATTGAGATGCACAGAGACACCATTTGAAGATACATCTGCAAGCAACCAAGTAAGCAAAGAATACTGAGGACTATAAAAGCTGAAAGAGACAAGGGTCTTCCCCCAGAGCTGACAGAAAGAGAACCAAGCCTCCAAAACTGTAAGGCAATAAATTCCTGTTCTTTAAAGCCACCCACTTGTGGTATTTTTTGTTATGGCAGCCTTAGGACGCTAAGATAGAGAGGAAAAGGGAGTGAGAGCAAGAGAGAAGAGAGAGAGAGCACCCAAGATGGAAGCCGCAGTGTATTTTATGACCTAATCTTAGAAGCGGCAAACCATTACTCCTGCCCTCTGCTATTGGTTGCATAGACCAACTCTGGTACAGTGTGGGAGGGGATACATGAAGGTGTGGACACCAGGAGGCAGGGATCCCTGGGTGCCATCTTGGAGGCTGGCTACTATGGTTTGTGTCTTGATACATTTGTCTGTAGGACATTGTTTTTATTTGTGGAATTGTGACCATTATATGAACACATCTCCATCATTTTGATTATTTTTTGTCCCATTGATGAATCGGAATTAACTTGATGGCAATGGGTTTATAGATGAACATGTAGGCATTGTTTCTACTTTTTTTGTTATTAGAAAGAATGATTCCTTGACCATCCTTCTGCCCATATCCTACTGCTTATGTGCAAGAGTTTCTTGGGGGCATATACACAGAAATAGAATGGCTGAATCATAGGGTGTACCCATTTTCAGTTTGACTAGGTATTTCCAGTGAGCACACCCACCAATACCATGAGCATTTCTGTTGCTCTATGTCCTCTCCAATGTGTGGTCTTTAGACTTTAAGTGTGTACCAATCTAATCATGTGGAAAAGGTATTTCTCTGCTGTTTTAATTTGCAATTCTCTAATCACAAGGAGGTTGGGCCCCTTTCTGATATCGACTGCCTGTTCAGATTGCCTTTTTCATGGCCTCATAGGGCGTGGCCAAGGACAGCATCCCAGCTCCGGTGAGCACATGGCCACGGCCTGCACAGACTGAAGCAAAGATGGGCACCAGGGTCTGGCAACCAGGCGGCGTCTTTCGGGATGTCTCGGCTGCTCTGAGCCTGTGCCGCTGACATTCAGGGCCCATCACCCTCTGTCGGGGAGGCCATAGATAGTTCTCCTTTGAGCCATGCTGCTGCCCTCTGGCCTGAGGTCTCGCTGGCACAGGTGGTGACTGGTGCTGACCCCTGTGTCTCTCCCAGGTGCCTTCCTCATCCCCTACTTCATCGCACTGGTCTTTGAGGGGATCCCACTCTTCCACATTGAGCTTGGCATCGGCCAGCGCCTGCGCAGGGGCAGTGTCAAGGTGTGGCAGATTATCTCCCCCTACCTTGGTGGAGTAGGTATGCCCCATCCCTCTGGGCCCCTGGTGCACCTGCTTGGGAACAGGTTGGGGGGTTCTCAGGTGGACGGTGGGACAGAGCTGGGATTCTATGAGCCTGAGCAAGGCCAGCCTGGGCAGCTGAGACGCCCACATCAAAGCTGTCCACCAAGCATGGCGGGGTGGGGGCTGCAATGTTCCAGGGGTAGAGGCAAGCCTTGTGGTCCTCCACTGATTTACCTGACCCACTGTGTGCATGTGGCAGTCTCAAACATGCAGATAACAAGACACCCCTTCTGTGTGAACATGGATATCCATGCAGCACGCCACTGTAGGAAGAGCCTCTGTGGTCACATCCTCGAGAAGTTTGCACTGAGGTCTTAGTCGGTGGCCCTGAAAGCAAAGCCTGGGACAAGGATTTTGGTGAGGGGTGTTATCTGGGGGCCTTGGAACACAGAAACAAGGGAACAGGTACCCCAGGCAAGAGGAGGAGGAGCTAACAGAAGGAGCCCCCTACCTGGGCAACAGGGCTTGGCTCCCCAGGGCAGCACACAGGATGGTCTGAATCGCCCCTGGCTCCTGTGTGTACATGGGTCGCTGAGCTCCACACTTCCGACACTCACAGCATCAGAGGAAGCCTGGGGCAGAGCGCAGACCCACACACGCCCTGGGAACAGGTGCTACAGTGGGGGGGTCCCAGTGTCACAGTCCAGGGGTCTGATGTGCTGCACTGAGGTGACTGCTAAGAGGACAATCCCTGGTGCACTGCCCGGGGCAGCTCCACCTGGGCCCACCTAGAAAACCAGTGGTCGAATGAACAGAGGGACCTAGCAGAGCTGTAGGATGACATGTGGATTGCGGTGCTGATGTGGCCATGGGAGCCCACTGAGGTGCGTTTAAAAGCAGATGGAGGATCTAGAGAGAGTCAGAAACAGAGACTGAGCATGCAGGCACTTTCGGGAAGGGCACCCAGGTTTACACGTGGAAGGGAAATTGGCCGGGCGACATGACTTTCACCCTGCACCTCTTGCGGTGGTTTGGCTTCTTCACTGTTATTTTATTTGCTGGTTTTCAGCAGACAGTGTGGGGAGGAGGTGGCCTGCAGGCTGGCCGAGCACGGCAGCCAGCACGAGCTGACCCTTTGGTGGCATGTCCACAGGTCTGGGCTGCTTCACCATGTCCTTCCTGGTCAGCCTGTACTACAACTCCATCCTGATGTGGGTGCTCTGGTACTTCCTCAACTCCTTCCAGCACCCACTGCCCTGGAGCACCTGTCCCCTGGACCTCAACAGAACAGGTGAGGGCGTTGTCAAGGGTCAGTGCTTAGTTGAGGTGACCAATCTATTGTACAGAGTACACAGACTTTAGGAAAATCTCAGATAGAAGCCTCACATAACTTGAGGAAGACCCGGAAATTAGATCTTCACACACTGGCATCCCAGGGGTGTCCCTAAATAGAACACTTGAAATACTTTCATTGATGTCTTCATGAAGACCCCATGTGTTACAGAATATAACTGGGTTCCAAAGGGTTTTCTTGGCTGTAATCTTTTTTTTTCTAATTGTGATTTAGGTGAAAGTTTACAGCCCAAGTTAGTTTCTTGTACAAAATTTTATACACACGTTGTTATGTGACCCTAGCTGCTCTCCCTATAATGTGACCACACACTCCTCCTTTCCACCCTGGATTTCTGGTGTCCATTCAACCAGTTCCTGTCCCTTTCTGCTTTCTCATCTCGCCTCCAGACAGGAGCTGCCCATTTAGTCTCATGTGTCTACTTGAACTAAGAAGCATACTCTTCCTTCACGAGTATCATTTTATGTCTTATAGTCCAGTCTATTCTTTGTCTGAAGAGTCGGCTTCAGGAATGGTTTTAGTTCTGGGTTAACAGAGAGTCCGGGGGACATGTCTTCTGGGGTTCCTTCAGTCTCAGTCAGACCCTTAAGTCTGGCCTTTTTACTAGAATTTGAGTTCTGCACCCACTTTTCTCCTGCACCGTCAGGGACTCTCTCTGTTGTGCTGTGTTGTGTTCCCTGTCAAGGCGGTCATTGGTGGTAGCCAGGCACCATCTAGTTCTGGTCTCAGGTTGATGGAGTCTCTGGTTTATGTGGTCCCTTTTGTCTCTTGGGCTAATATTTTCCTTGTGTCTTTGGTGTTCTTCATTCTTCTTTGCTCCACGTGGGTTGGGACCAATTGACACATCTTAGAGGACCACTCGCTAGATTTTAAGACCCCAGACATCTTGGCTGTAATCTTTATGGAAGCAGATTACCAGGCCTTTCTTCCCCAGTGCCACTGGGTGGGTTCAAACCACCAATATTTCTTAGTAGCCAACAGCAAACCATTTGAGCCACTCAGGGACCTTGCTATGTGGGGGACTTGGACTGAACAGCAACAGATTTGTTTTTCTCGTTGTTTGTTGACGTCTTGTTTATCTACTGAATAAACAGTGGGGTCCTCGTGAGTTTGGTGGATGAATCTTTGCAGAGGTCTCATGGGCTGAAGCCCCACCTCCCAAGCTTCCATGCCTTGTGTCTTGGACCCACTCTCATGAGGGCAGTGTTCAGCCGCCACAGCCATTCCCTAGCTTAGCAATGAGGAGCCTTCAGGTCCAGATCTCAGCAAAGCACTCCATCTGGGGGGACCTTGGAGACACGGGTAACAGTCATTGTTTTAAATGGTTGGTTCGTGAAGCCATGTTGGGCCTCTTCTCCTTCTTGTCTTTCATTGACACGAACACTCTATTTTGCACGTGCTGAACAGGATGAGCGTGGGGTGGGAGCTGGACAGGGAATCAGGGCCTGGTGCTCCCTTCTGACAACCTCACAGGCAGTGGCTGGATGTTCTGGGGCTGCAGAGGGGCAGGGGGCCAGGCTCTGAGCCCCTCACAGAGGGATGGGTCCTTTCTGCCCAGTCTACCCTCAGGCCATGTTCATCTGCGGCTCCGCTCCTGGACGTGGTTTGCGAAGCCTGAAGCTCCTCTGCCTTCTGTCTGAGGGTTTACTTTTGAGGCCACTCAGGCCAAGCCCTCCCTTTCCAGACAGTCTGAGGACCACACCATTGAGTCCAAGTTCACTGCATGGCGGGTCAGCAGGAGGGTCGGCCCAGGTCTGGGGCTCAGGGCCTCAGTCCAGCATTAAGTCCACATCGGGTTTACCCAAACTTCAGGAAGTTTTTCCAAGAAAGGTACCCAGAAAGGTTGCTTTTCCTCAGCCTCACTTGCAGCCTCTTCTTCAGCTCCAGGGGTGGTGAAAGGCCAGCCTCGTCTCAGAATGGGCCTGCACTGGGAGCTGGACCCTGAGGGAGGGCTATGTGGGATGGCCCCGTGGTCTGCTCCTGTTATCACGGCCCTGAAGGATAGCTCCTGGTCTGTTCCCAGTATCATGGCCCTGAAAGAAGGTTCCGAGGGCCAGCCCAGTGGTCTGCTCATGGTATCTGGTCCTGTGACTTTCCAAGGTGATCCCACATCCCCATCAGATGTGTGTGGTCTGATGCTTGCTGAAGTCAGATGCTGTCTCTGGCTGCCCCTGTCTCCTTGGCCCAGTGACCCAACCAGGAAGGAAGCGGAAGGCAGTGGAAACACTGCTGTTAAATGCTAAGGCCACCTTGGTGCAAGAAGTACAGAGGCATGGCTTTCTGCCCAAGTGCCAGAGAATCACCAGGGGATACACGCACCATTCAGGGTCTGTACCATCCTTGGGGCCCCGGAAGGAGGTGAAGAGGGGCAAGTGGGGTGTTTTAGTCTCCTAGTGCTGCTGTAACAGAAATACCACAAGTAGGTGACTTTAAAGACATTTATTCTCTCAGACATTTATTTTCTCCCTGTTCAGGAGGCTAGAAGACTGAGTTCAGGGCGTGACTCTGGGAGGAGGTCCTTCCTTTTCTGTCTCAGCTTCTAGTAACTGCTGGCGATCCTTGGCATTCCTGGGCTTGTAGATGCATCTGCCTTAGACAGTGTTAGACAGCATCTATCTACCCTCTGTGTGCATCTCTGTGTCTAATCTGCTCTTTATGTAACACAGGAGTGATTAGGTTTATTACCCACCCTACAGTGGTATGACTTCATTCGATTGCATTGTGGAAGGTGATTACATTACATTACATTCACAGGTATAGAGGTAAGGATTCCAACACGTATTTTGGGGGAACACAATCCAGTCCGTAACATGGGGGACCCAGGATCAGCATAAGCACAAGCTTAAGTACAAGGTGACAGTGATGACTGGAGAGTTGAGAGGCTGCGGGGTGCCAGGACCCAGCGGGGCTCAGTACCGTGGACAGAGATGAGCTTCCCTTGAGGTCACTCTGCTTCTAGGTGCCAGCCTCCAGCCCAAAGAGCAGTGGGAAGGGACTCAGGCCTTGAAGGCATGGGCATCTGCTTCCTGTTGAAACCCACCAGAAGGTGTGGCCTGGCTGGACAGAGCTGGCATGAGGGGCCTGTGGTCCATGCCCACATGGCATGGCTGCCCCCAGCCCCAGTGGCAGCCCATGACCATTCCTTTGGTTGCAGGGTTCGTGGAAGAGTGCCAGGGCAGCAGCGCCGTGAGCTACTTCTGGTACAGGCAAACACTGAACATCACAGCAGACATCAACAACAGCGGTGCTGTGCAGTGGCGGCTGCTCGTCTGCCTGGCCACCTGCTGGGTGATCGTGTACCTGTGCGTCATCAGAGGTATTGAGTCCACAGGCAAGGTGAGAGCCTCGCGTACCCCAGCTGCCCGGACTCCTCCTCACCCACCCCATCTACTTCCTCCCATCACATACTCCGCTGCCCAAACACTTCCCTCTTCCTTTCAGGGGCTCGGTCTGCACCCTGCTGGTCGTTTGGGGTGCAGCAAAGGCCTCTATCCTTGGGACTGAGGGATGTGTCTCAGGCAGAGGCCCTGGGGCTTCATGAGTCTCGTGCGGAGTCTTGGTTTGGTGGACCAATCTTTGGCAGAGGTCCCATGGGCCAGGGCCTCTCCCCAAATGTCCACGCCCGGTGGCTTTGACCCAGGTCCTTTGTCCTGACCATCCCAGGGGTGACCTTGTTTATCTGGCCCTGGTTTTGCTCTGGACTGCATGCGGGCCCTGCCCCAGGACAGTCAATGCCCGCCTTAGCTGACCCCGCAAAGGCACAAAGGCGTCAATGAGTTGACGGCTCACAGGAGCCTCTTTGGGATAATTAGGACATTCGATTAATTCACATATGAATGTTCTTGGTGAGCCCCAAGGTTTTGGAGCTTGCCGTGAGCCGACACCCCATGGTCACACAAAATGCCCCTGAGGCACCATCCAGATCAGAATCCTACGAGTCATAGCGAGTTCACACACAGAGGGGCTTCCTACACTCCTGCTTTCTCTAATGAGATTTCATTTGACATGTGACAAACACCATTTTAAAAGTAGAATAATTTCCATCTTTTTTTTTTTAAAGGTAATTTATTTCACAGCCCTGTTCCCGTACCTGGTCCTGACAGTCTTCCTTATTCGAGGATTTACCTTGCCAGGGGCGACAGAAGGACTGATCTATTTGTTCACCCCCAAAGTAAGTGGGTCTCAGTCTGCGCCCTGAATCCAGGCCCAGAAAGCACGCTGCCCTGCGGTCTGCAGGTGTGGACTGGTGTGAGCCGGGCATGGCTGGGCTTACCTAGCGGTCAGAGGGTGGGAGAAGGGGTCCGGATCAGCGTGGGGTCTCAGGCAAGAGATCAAGTTTGGAGGAGCAAGGAGGAGGACTTTGCTTGGGACATGCTGACTGTGGGACATTCCAGTGGATGTTTCAGTGGAGGCAGACAAGAAGTAGGGGCTTAAGGGAGCAGGGCCAGGGCTCAGGGGAAAGGTTACTGGAGACCCAGATATTCCCCCTTAGGGTCAGGCCACAGGCCCTGACCCTGACCCACACTCTTCAGGGCCTCCTCCAGCAGCATGCACCCACCAGGCAAGGGGTCACATGGTCCCCTCTAGACCACTCTACACAGTCCAGGATTCCAGCATCACCTGCTAACATCCTGAGGGAGCTCCTGGGACCTGCAGGCCACCCCATCCGTCCTTCCTGGAGCGGTGTGTTACTACTGGAATTGGAGAAGTAGCCACAGAGATGGTCAGGGGTGGACCTGGGTCAGGCAGAATGGATGGTCACATCATTGCTCAGACAGAGCAAAAAGAGGAGGGGGAAGGGGAGAAGAAGCAGGAAGAGGAAGAGGAGATAGAGGAGGAAGAAGAGGAGATAGAGGAGGAGGAAGAGGAGGATGAGATAGAGGAGGAGGAGGAGGAGATAGAAGAGGAGGAGGAGGAGATAGAGGAGGAGGAAGAGGAGGAGAAGGAGGAAGAGGAGATATGAGAGGAGGAAGAGGAGGAGAAGGATGAAAAGAAAGAGGAAGAGAAGGAGCAGGAGGAGGAGGAACAGGTAGAGGAGAAAGAGGAGGAGGAGAAGGGGGAGGGAGGAGGAGGAGGGAGAGGATGAAGAGAAGGGTGAGGAGGAGGAGGAGGGAGGATGGGGAGGAGAGGAGAAGGGGCAGGGAGGGAAGGGGCTCTCAGCGTCAACACAGCCCTGGGTGGGGCGTGTCTGCCCAGAGGCACTAGTGGGACCAGTGGAGGTTTGTGGTTGTGCCCAGGTCACCCACAGCAGCAGGAAAACTAGGTGCCCGCGCAAGGATGAACCCCATCTGAGGGGCCCTTCAAACCATCCAGAACCAGCAGATCTGATACGCTCAGAATAAACAGACCTAGGTAGGAGCTTGTTCAGACTCGTTTCCCAACCCCAAAAGGTCTGTGTCGCATTTGTAGGGTTAAGAACTGTCACTCCAAGCATGCTTACTCGCCCATGGTCCCAGATTGTTCTTGGGGCTGGGTAAGTCAGACCCACTCATGAGGGTGTCCCAAAAGAGGCCCGGGAATGTTCTTAAACAGTGAGTGCGTGCGTAAGGATCCCCTACCTGTATTGTTCCAGACACAGATTCTCCGGAACCCACGGGTGTGGCTCGACGCAGCCACCCAGATATTCTTCTCTCTGTCCCTGGCCTTCGGAGGACACATCTCATTTGCAAGTTACAACCCGCCCAGGTAGGCAGCCTGGGTTTGAGTGTGGTTATCTTCACGGATGGGGTGCTCAGTCCACAGGTTCTTAGAAAGCACCGACAAGCACTTCTTTATCTCGGAACTCTGCCAGTGGGACTTGGGCAACCTTCCGAGAACTTGTGATAAGAACTTTGTGCTGAGTTATATTCTCCTTGGCCAAATGGTGCCTCAGCAATGACTGAGCCAACCTTGGAGACAGTAGGTGATCTCCTGGAGGACAGATTTTCTCGCACATTCCAGAGCAGACTGCAGGAAGCAAACTGATGCAATAAACCAGTATGACCCAACTCAGGAGCAACGACACAATTGGGGGAACAACACCAACCAAAATTAACCACAGGCATAAAGCACAATGTCGTAACAGCAGAAATATACTCTGTGTAAACCTCCGTAATGACTGCAAATAGACTCAAGCCCTACACACTGATTTCATGAGGCTACAGTATGTATATAGCATTACAAAGTACAATTCCACGGAATCAAGAAACATAACCTAAATGCACTGTGATAAACATTACCAAAAAATAAATAAAAAATAAAGCTGTTGCTATCGAGTTGATTCCGACTCATAGAGACCCTATAGGACAGAGCAGAACTGCCCCATAAGGTTTCCAAGGAGCGGCTGGTAGATTCAAACAGCTGACCTTTTGGTTAGCAGCTGAGCTCCTAACCACTACACCACAAGGGCTCTGTGATAAACATTAGAGGAACATAATTTAATTTAGCTGTCAACATGTTCTCCTTTTCGAGGCGGGGTAGGGGAGCAGGAAAGGGAAGGGGCAGAGGGGTCACCTGGGGGTGGCTCCTGCCCCTTGAGAAAGCCTTTAGGGAAGTAAGTGTGAGCTGGGATCTCAGGGTGCACTCCACATGCTTATATCTGACGCATCACCGCCTTGGACTCACACCCCAGGTACATTCGCCTCCGTCACTCATGTGGAGGGAACCTTAAGAAATCCACCACTGCCCCTTGGCTCCCTCCTGCCTTTGTGAGAAGGGCACGAGGTTAGGAAGTGCAGGAAGGGGTGGATGGGGTGGTGGACCCCACCCAAGTGTGCTTTGGAAGCTTTGAGCTGGCCAGGTGGGGTGAGGGATTGGGCCTAGTCTCTGTGGACTCCACCGTCCAGGCTGGCTGGTTGGCCTGGAAAGGCCTTTGGGATTATGTGGGTGTGATGGATGAATTTGGGGCAGAAAAGAGACAATGCACAGAGGCATTGCTTCAGGAAACTGCTCACAAGGCTGCTGCTCTGACTGACGAAGGGACAGACCCCAAGACCCAGTACAGGAGCACTGCGGTGGGCAGAGCACGGAGGGTGTGCTAAATCTGTCCAGAGGCCGACAGTTTACCCTGGGAGAAGGCAGCCAGGCTAGGGCAGGAGTGAGCAAGGACAGCACCCGAGAATCCCATAAGACAAACAAAACTGGAGAAAGTAGAGAAAAGGAGATCTCCCCCAACCTTGATGCCCCAGATGAGACGTGGCAACTTCCCCAGACCCTGGAGGAGTCCCCAGGCACAGGAGTGGGGGCTTTGAGAGTGTGACTTGACCCTGGCCCTAGAGCCATGTGGCACCATCCGAACAGATCCTGGGATGTGGAGCGCTGTCCCTGACAGATGGGGCTGTTTGCCAGGGAGTGTAAGCCCACTGCAGACATTTCCCTGGTGGCTGCAGAAGCAGCTGTCCCCCTTCTCAGAGGCCAGGTCTGGGCAGGGGAGGGGTGAAACCAGGTCAAGGGAAGTCCCTGAGCTGGCCTGGGCGGGTGTCTGTCCCAGCACCTGCTTCGAAGCCACAACCCCATCAGGAGATAGGATTTGCTCTAGTGGTCAAGTGAAGTGGGTGGTGGCCTTTCCACCAGAAGAGGGACAATGGGGAGGCCAGGCATCAACCGTGCCCGAGCTTCAGAACAGGGTGTCTTGGGGCAGCCAGGGAGGGTGGAGGTGGGAAGTCCACGCCACACGTCAATGTGTTCCTGGGAGTGGGGCCTTCACCCAGAAAGCCCCGATAACACTCACGTGTGTGCCCAGGAACAACTGCAAGAAGGACGCCGTGATCATCGCCGTGGTGAACAGCATGACCTCCCTCTATGCTTCTATTGCCATCTTCTCCGTCCTGGGTTTCAAGGCAACCAATGACTACGGGCACTGCCTGGACAGGTGAGCACCACACCTGGGCACTGCCTGGACAGGTGAGCACCGCACCTGGGAACTTCCTGGACAGGAGAGCTCTGTACCTAGGCACTGCCAGACAAGTGAGTACTGTGGCTGGTCACTGCCTGGACAGGTGAGCTCTACTGTGGGCACTATCTGGACAGATGAGTTCCGCACCTGGCACTGTCTGGACGTGTGGGCAACTCACAGCTGCTCTGGCCTCAGGAGGGTGTGATACCCACGAAGTGCCAGCCGCAAGGCCAGTGCCCTCTGCAGTCTGGACCTCACATGATTGATAAGTAGCATGATGGAAGTCCGTGTCATTTCCTTAGGACACTGGGTTTAATACTGTCCTTCTACATTCAGGTCCACCCAGAACCTCAGAAAGTGACCTTATTGAAGAAAGGGTCTTTGCAAATGTGATTAAGTCAAGGGCCCTGAGATGAAGAGATCACCCTGGATTAGCCAGGTGGTTTCTACATCCAGTGACAAGTGTCCTCATAAGAGAAAGGCAGAGGGGGTCTGAGAAGACAGAAGGGGTGGAAGCCAGGTACAGACAGAGGCAGAGATAAAGTGACGCTGTCACGGCCAAGGAACACCTGGAGCCATCAGAAGCTGGAAGAGCTAGGGAAGGATGTTCCCTGAGAGCTTCCAGGGGGAGCAGGAGCCTGCCAACGCCTTGATTTCAGACTTTCAACCTCCAGAACTGTGACAGGCTAAGCCACCCCGTTTGTGGACATTTGTCTTGGCAACACTAGGCAGCTATTCCAGTTAGGATTGCCTCTACATGTGGAGTTACTGCATCAAATCAAATGACATTGGTAAGGCTCTTGATACTTGCCCACAAATTACCTTCCAAACATACTTTATCAGTTTAAATCCATCAGAAGCGTACAAGCACACCCCTCTAGCACCTGGGGCGATTCTGCGTCCCCTTCCCCCGGACATTTGACAATGTCTGAAGACATTTTTGGGTCACAGCTGGAGAAGGTGCTTGCTGCTGGCATCTAGTGGGTGGAACACAGGGATGCTGCTAAGCATCTGTCTTAGGCTGGGTTCTCTAGAGAAGCAACACCAGCAAAGCATATAAATATATATAGAGAGAGAGATTTACATCAAGAAAATGACTCATGCAGTTGTAGAGGCTGGAATGTCCCAAGTCCATGGGTCAGGCTGGCAGCTTCTTTTGATTCACGTAGCCGCAGGGGCTGGCAAACCCAAGATCGGCAGGTCTGCAAGCAGGGCTCTTGCTCACAGGCTGCAAAGATGATTAAATCCCAAGATCAGCAGGCAAGAACGCAGGTAAGCTGCCAGCTCAAGTCCCAAGAACCAGAGGTCAGATGAACAGGAACCAGCTGCAGGATCAAGAGCAAGCAAAAGCCCACAAGCCTTACCAGAAAGTCCACTTATTTGGATGCAGGCCACACCCCCAAGGAAACTCCCTTTCAACTGGTTGGCTACTCACAGCAGATCCCATCATGGAGGTGATCACATTGTATCAAATCTCATCGTGGAGGTGATCACATCATCATACGACTGCCAAACTACATCATAACTGCCAGACCACTGAGAATCATGGCCCAGCTAAGTTGACACACAACCTTAATGATCACAGCATCCTACAACGCACAGGATGCCCCCACAACAGGAAGCAACAAGATAAATGTCCACAGTGTTGCTGTTGACAAGCCCTGGGTCACCCACCCTCTGGTCAGCATGGGTGATCATCACTTATACAGAGGGACGGAGTAGAAGACAGACACCACCTGCTTGGAGAAATCCTCCCATGCGGACCTGGGCCAGGCGCTCCCGTCAGCCATGTGCTGTCCCGGCATGACCCTAGAGGCTGCAGGGTCCTCGCCCTGGTGAACAGCCTGACCCCCACTTGAGAGCAGAAAGATGAGCCTTCTAGCTTCTTCCACTGAGTTAGTAGAAAACCAAGATAGAGTCCAACTAGAGCATCCGTTTTTCTTTTTCACGACATAAACAAGAGCCCAGCAGACAAGTGGTTCTTTCCTAGCCGAGGGCTCTGGGACTGCGCAGTCAAGTCTAAGTACTGATCTAGTTCAACTGTGATAGCCGTGACCCGCTCCATCCACAAAACCCCAGGCCAACTTCGCCAGCCACGTGGCTGGGATTGAGTAGGTACCACCGCGGGTGGGCACGCAGAGTGGGGGGTGTCTTTCTCTACAGCTGTGCTGGGGGAGGAGCTGTGGCTCCAGAGCGGGGTTTGTGCCTATGATTTGCTCCAGCCCTGAGCACCACCCCTTCGTGGCATTTATGGTTGAACCTCCAACCCTGAAAACAGGAATGAAGGCGGGTGGTGGGCAGTGGACCTCGGGCATCGGGATTGAAGAGGAGGTGGAGCCCAGCTGCAGCCCTTCCCAGTAGCTCTCAGAAGCCGACGTCCCTCAATCCCAAAGCTGCCCCCCCTTGGTGCCAACTCAGGGGACCAACAGCTCCATGCGCAAGGAAGCTGCACAGCCCATTCTAACCCCACAGAGGGCCCCCACCCAGGCCTGGGCCTGCTAGGGGGTGACAGCAGCCTTCTCCTCCCCTCAGGGTGGCCCCAGTTGTGCGGCCCTGCACCGGAGTCCACGCCATCACAGACCCTTTCCGACACCTTTTCTAGCGCCAGTGGGAGGTGTCTTCTGGGATGAGTTTGTTGGTGGGGTGCTGGCGCCCAGCGGACGCTCACCCAGCTCCGCTCTGCCCCTGCAGGAACATCCACAGCCTCATCAACACGTTTGACCTCCCAGACCAGAGTGTCTCCAGGGACGACTACCTGGCCGTGCTGGAGCACCTGAACGCTACCCATCCAGCGCGGGTGGCCCAGCTCCATCTGAGGAGCTGCCACCTGGAGGACTTCCTGGACAAAGTAAATGAGCACCCAGGTGCAGGCCGAGGGGCCTGTCCACAGGGAAACCAGGGCCACACCTGGGGAGGCTTCCCTGCACATGCTGCAAATGTAATTTTCCACAGACCAGGCCCAGGTGGTTACAGAGGAGGGACTCCAGGCTTTCCGGAACATCCTGTGGCCTCCAAGGCACCGTGTCCTTACTGTGGCTGCCCAGCAGACCTGGGGTCCAGAGGCTGACCAGAGAGAGCGGGTGGGTCAGGGGTGCTGGTCACAAAGCTGCCCTGTGACTGCTGGGCACCAGGTTGAGGGTGCGCAGTCATGAGGCAGGTCCCCAGCCCGTGTCCACCCAGGCCTCTAACTCCTCAGTCACTGACTTGATTTTTAAAGAGAGAAGTACATTTCCTTCCAGAGGCACTCCTGCAGCCTGGGCAGAGCCCTGATGGGCAGGGCCACCAACCTCAGGGCCTGATACCAGGAGGGGGCTGTGCACGCGATGCAGAATGCAGTGTGTGGTGTGCATGCATGTCGCAGAGTGCAAGGTGTTGTGTACATGCATGTTTCAGGACACAGGGTGTTGTGTGCAAGTGTGTTGCAGAGTGCAGGATGTTGCATACACGTGTGTTTCAGGGCATGGTGTGTGGTGTGCCCCTGTGTTGCAGAGTTTGGGGTGTTGTGCGACATGTGTTGCAGAGTGCGGACTGTGCTGCAGAGCGTGGATGTGTTGCAGAGCAGGGTGTGTGTTGCAGAGCACGGCGTGTGTTGTAGAGCACGGCCTGTGTTGCAGAACAGGGTGTGTGTTGCCGAGCATGGTGTGTGGTGCAGAGCCGGGTGTATGTTGCAGAACATGAGACATGCTGTGCTCGTGTTACAGAACGTGATGTGCAGTGTGTATGAATGTGGCGGCGCACTGGGTGTTGGTATGCATGCATGTTGCAGAACATAGTCTGCACGCATGCTGCAGGGTCCCTGGCCCCTGACAGTGCAGTGTGCCCGTTGGTTGCAGAGCGCCTCGGGCACAGGCCTGGCCTTCATTGTCTTCACGGAGGCCATCATCCACATGCCAGGGGCTCCTGTGTGGGCTGTGCTCTTCTTTGGAATGCTGTTCTCCTTGGGCCTGTCGACCATGTTCGGGAACATCGAGGGGGTCATCACGCCACTCCTGGACCTGGGGGTCTTGCCCAGATCGGTCCCCAAGGAGGTCCTGACTGGTGAGTGGACTGCTAGGCCACCTGTCAACCCTGTCCTCACCATCCTGTCGCCTTGCAACCTCCCAGTCCTCTGCTCTCTGGGCACAATAGAGGGGAGAGATGGAAGGAATGGAAAAGAGAGCACAAAAGAGCTTGGGGAGGGAATGCCAGGGCTGGGGGGCAGTCACGGGGTGGCCTGGAATGTCCCTCCTGCTCGGACATGTGGAGGGGCACTGCCGTGTCCCCCCAGACTGCTGTGGCCCCGCTGACCCTGCCCATCCCCACTGCTCCCATAGGGGTGACCTGCCTGATCTGCTTCCTCTTGGCGCTCTGCTTCACCATGCAAACCGGGAACTACTGGCTCGAGGTCTTCGACAACTATGCCATCTCCCTGAACCTGATCGTCTTTGCCTTCTTCGAGGTCGTTGGGGTCGTGTATGTTTATGGGATGAAACGGTGAGCTCAGGCCACTGGGGGTGCTCCTAGGCTGCGAAAGGGCTGGCTGGGAGGGTCCGTGTCCCGCAGGCCTCTGGTTTGAGGGCCTTCACGCCCACGGGCGCCACCTCTCAGCTTAGTGTGGCTGGTCCCGAGACAGCCGGGGGAGGTGTAGGAGGTGGCAATTTGAGGGCCTTCCTTTCCAAAACAACATCAAAGACATGCCCCGGTGTTTCAAGGCACACACAAAGGGACTTTTGCCTGGGGTCTTTGGCTCATGCTGGCCCTGGCCTTCCAGACTGTTGAAGGACACGCCTCTACGGCTGCAGAAGGCAAGGCACAAATTTAGCCGTCTCCAGCCACATGGGGCAAACCTGGGTCATGCTGATCACTGTGGGGTCTCCTAACAGTCCAAGAACCAAGGACCCAGTGACACCAGGAAGGCCTGGCAAGGGCTCTGGGCCCCCTGTCCTGCCCGGTGCCCTTGGCTGGACCACCTGTCTCCCACCTCGCACATCACCAAGGACCACAGCAGTGCCCAGAGCTAACCGGCACCTGTGCCAGAACCAGGTGGCCCCAGGAGTTTGGGCCCTGCATCCTCCCCTTGGATTCTGAAGGGATCCCAGAATGTTCTGTGGGCATGGGGGAGTGGGGAGACCAGACAGACTTGTCCCTGGTCCACAGTCCTCGAGGCTGGGATGCCACCTCCCTGGAGAGGCAGGAAACCGAGGCAGCTGTTGGGCCAGGAGACCGTCTGGGCAACTTGGGGAGAAAGTGTGTGCCTGAACCCCACCAGGCTGGGAGACCCCAGAAACAGACATTCCAGAGGTGTCTGGAGGAGAGCTGGAAGGAGGGGAGGTCAGGGAGGGAAAGGAGGGGCAGCAGCATCTGGAGGTTTCCACCTTCGTGCTGCTGGGAACCCCTTGTGGACCCCAGAAGAGGAGACAGGATGGGGGTGCTGGTTGTTCATAATGTGAGTCTGGGCCCCAAGAAGGTGGTCTGGCCTGGAGACAGACTATGTAGTTGCCTGTGTAAATACGATGTATGATGTTACAAATCATCCATTAATGGTCTTGATCTTAAGAAGGTATAACCCATTGCCGTTGAGTCAATTCCGACTCATAGCAACCCTATACGACAGAGTAGAACTGCCCCATAGAGTTTCCAAGAAGCGCCTGGCAGACTCAAACTGCCAGCCTTTTGGTTAGCAGGCATAGCTCTTAACCACTACACCACCAGGGTTTCCTAAGAAGGTATAGGGTATACGATATATCTTAGTTATCTAGTGCTGCTGTCACAGAAATACCACAAGTGGGTGGCTTTAACAAACAGAAGTTTATACAATATTCTCAGTTTAGGAGGCTGGAAGTCTGAATTCAGGGCACTGGCTCTAGGGGAAGGCTTTCTCTCTCTGTCTACTCTGCGGGAAGGTCCTTGTCTCTTTTCCGCCTCTGTTTCTTAGTTCCTTGGAGATCTCATGTGGTGTGGCTTCTGCCTCCCCCGATCTGTGCTTTCTTGCTGCTTGTTTCATCTGCTCTTTTGTGTCTCAAAGAGATTGATTTCAGACACACCCTACACTAATCCTGCCTCATTAACAAAACATAGAAAACCCATTCCCAAACGGGATTATAACCACAGGTATAACCCACACCAAACCAAACCCTCTGCCCTCCAGTCCATTCTGACTCATAGGGACCCTATCGGACAGAATAGAACTGTACCATAGGGTTTCCAAGGAGCTGCTGGTGGATTCGAACGGCCAACTTTTACTTTAGCAGCGGAGTTCTTAACCCCTATACCACCAGGGCTCCAGCCACAGGTACAGGGGTTAGGATTTACAACACATATTTTGCGGGGACAAAATTCAATCCATAACACGAAGTAAGCCCTGACTTCATAGAAGGCCAGCCTGCCTCAGGGAGCCTTCCAGCAGCCGATGTGATCCTCCAGGACCAGGATGCGTCCCTGGGAAGGATACGCCTGTCAGGCCAGGCCCCGTGGTACTCTGTGGCCGCTGTTACTGCTCTGCCCTTTGAACCTCTGCCCCAAGGAAGTGGCACTAGATGCCCCCGTCCCTCGAGCCTGGGGAGCAGCCGGCCAGCCATGGTCACCCAGTGCACACACTTACGGGCAGGCGAGTAGGGCTCAGTGGAGCCATCCCCCAGGCTGGGGTGGAGGCCAAGGCTCCCACTGTCCATGCTGTGGGAGGGTTGGGATTTGCTCCTTCATCAGGGGAACTTCCCCGTTTCCTCTGTGTGAAAGTGCACACAGGTGGGCTCTATTCCACCTGTCCAGGTGTGCCCAGACCACAGCAGCTGCACAAACAAGGCCCACAGGAAATCTGTGGTCCAAGCCCAGGGCCCTGCCACCCCCCCGGACGCTCCCCAGCCCTGGCCTCTTAGGCTCAGTAGGTGCCCCTGCCCAGGTGGGCACCTCCTCCCCATCTCTGCAGCGGCTGCTGTGTGCCCCAGCTGCTGCCTTTTCAGCTGTCACCTCTGTCCCCATCCTTGGGGCCCAAGCACAGCCTGCCTTCAGCAGTCAGGATTGCTCAGAGGTGGCTTCTGACCCATTCCAGGAAGAAGCCAGGTGGGCACTCGGGGTCAGTGTGCCCCCCTCCCCCCTACAGCCGGAGCCAGCAGGTCTTTGTGGCCAGCTGGAGCCCTTCCCAGGGGCGAGACCCATAGGTCCTGGCCTGGGTAGGACACACTGGTGCCCAGCTTCCTCTCCTGCTCGCTGCGGGTCTGGGGGACTGGGCTGACCTGCTCCGGGCCCAGGCGGAGCTCGGAGCCCCCCAGAGTGCCCTCTGCCCAGCCCGGGCTCTCATTCCATGGAGCAGACGTGCGGTGGTGGGGGGTGGCCCAAACCCAGGATCAGGACCTGGCATCCCTCCGAGGAGCAGGGGCAGGGTGCCTGCTGGGTCCCTGCTGTGTAAAATCCTCATCAGATCAGAAAGGGCCATCCCATTAGGGTAGCCTCTCAGAAAGGTGTGATGGTAAAGCTTGAAGCGGAGTTGAGGTGATGAGCCCCCCAGATATGGGGCACGTCTTCATAACATCTGAGGAAAGTGTGCTGGGTGAGAAGGTGGGTGAGGAGCAAATAGGGAGAGGGACCATCAGCGGAAGGGTGGGGGGTAGGGGAGTAGCAGAGACCATCGGCAGGGTGATGGTGGGGGGCGGGAGAGACCTTCGACATGGTGAGGGTAGGGGGGTGGGAGAGACCATCGGCAGGGTGATGGTGGGAGATGGGAGACACCATGGCAGGGTGATTGTGGGGGGTGGGAGAGACCATTAGCAGGGTGAGGGCAGGGGTGGGGGTGAGGGCAGGGGTGGGAGAGACCATGAGCAGGGTGAGGGCAGGGCAGGGAAAGACCATCAGCAGGGTGGGAGGAGGTAGGCCGAGAGCCTGAAGCCACCTCACTCTGGAGCAGATTCTGCGATGACGTGGAGTGGATGACCGGGAGGCGGCCCAGCTTGTACTGGCAGGTGACGTGGAAGCTCGTCAGCCCCCTGCTGCTGCTGTCCATCTTTGTGGCCTACATCATACTTCTGGCCCAGAAGTCGCCAAGCTACAGGGCCTGGAACCCCCTATACGTAGGTCCTTCTGCCGGGAGCCCCGGGAGTCCGGGAGCCCTAGGCCCATCTCGTGGTCTGGATCCTTCCTGGTGCCCTCCAGGCCAGATGACCCACACGGGGACAGTGTGGCCTGCTCACTCCTGCCCTCAAACAGGAGATTCAGAATGTAAATAGGACACCTCTGCTGTGGAGCCCAAGGGGTCCGGGAGCTCCAGTGTCACCTGGGCCATCACAGCAGACACTCCCAGGGCCCAGAGTGGTTTCAGGCTCTGGTGACCTGAGACCCCTCCTAACCCTGAAGGCAGACTTGGCCTGTCCCCACGCCTTCCAGTGCAGGGACGGGCAGCCCCACAGTGTCCATTCCTGGTCCGAGGTGAGGGAGGGAGTTTACAGAGAGTGTCAAGGAGCCATCACTGAGCTGTGCAGTCGAGCTGGCAGGTGCTTTCATACAAGACTCTCTCGACAAAGGAAGCAGTGCTCCAACCACACTCTGGTGCGAGCCTGTACCCACATGACTGCACTCGGAGCACCTTGGCCCTGCAGACCCTGCTGCCCTCCTCTGGGTCCTCACAACACCCCTACGCACACGCTGCTGCCCCTTCTCTTAAGCACTGAAGCAATTCCTTTCCAAACTCTTAGGAAGGGGGGCTCCCTCAGCAGAACACCACAGCAGGCAAAGGGGGTGACAGTTCATACTTTCCAGAGTTCTCATGCACATAATCCTGTCAGAGTCACAATTTACCTCTTCACGTTGACCTTGCAAGAAGTTCGGGGGTTAAGGGGATGGGATCACCCCATCTGATAGAGGACACAGGGCCCGACAAAGTCCAGCTGGCTGTGCAGAGGCAGCCGCCGAAGCTGCACAGCAGCTGGACTTGGCCAGGGCAGGCCTTTCCAGAACACAATGCCTCAGAGTCCAAGTCCCTACATGAGGTTCAGCCCAAGTGCCAGAACTTCCTGTAGCCCTTTTGCCACATCTCCTCATTGCCCAGGGGAACCCACAATGAGGTCCCTGGGTGGTACAAAGTGACCACTGCCCCTGGCTGTTCGCCTTTTTCCTTCCTCATTCAACTTTGAATGAAGTCTTGCTCCTTCGTTGTAGGAAGAGATGAGACCAAGCTGTCCCACGATTGGCGAGTGACAGCTCCATCGAGGTGGCGGGCTGTGGGGTGTTCCGTTTCCTTGGTGATGCTGTCCTCTCCGCAGGACGCTGGGGCCTCGGATGCCATGCTGGCACAGCTGATGCCCGTTCTCATATCCCACAGGAACACTTCCCTGCCCGGCAGGAGAAGCTCTATCCGGGCTGGGTGCAGGTCATCTGCATGCTCCTGTTCTTCCTGCCCTCCCTGTGGGTCCCTGCAGTGGCGCTGGCCCAGCTGCTCGCCCAGCGACGAGGACAAAAGCAGCAGCTTGTGCGTCCCCAGCTGCAGGACGGCCATGCCTGCTGAGGGGTGGGGGAAGGGGGGCCTCAATCCTGCGGGCCACTTGCTCACAAAGCCCCCCCACATTACACGCTGGCTGCCACCCGAGACCTGTGTGGTTGTCACTTCCCCAACATGCTTGCGCCTTGTACGACCTATTCACGTGGCAGCACAGCTCCATCATTGCCGTCAGCTGGTTGTAGACACCCTTCCTGGGAGGTAACCAGTCCCAGGTCTGCCAAACAGCACACAGCACCTGGGGCTCCACTCACCAATTGCTGTGGAGTCGATTCCGACTCATAGCGACCCCATATGTTTCAAAGTAGAATTGCTCCATAGGGTTTTTAATGGCTGATTTTTTGTAAGTAGATCACCAGGCCTTTCTTCCAAGGTGCCTTTGGGTGGACTTGAACCTCCAACCTTACGATTAGCAACCAAGCATGTTAAACTTTTGACCGCCAAGGGGCCCTGGGGCACTGGAGTCTGTGTGTAAATGCTGTCCCCAGAGGTCACGAAGGACCAGGCCTCAGTGGCCTCATGCTGCCCCCAGCCAAGTCCACCCTGACCTGGGCAGCCTGGAGCAGTCTTGGCCAGAAAAATGGCTAGGGTGTCCAAACTGTCAAGCAGGGCCAGGCCAAGGGGTCCCTGAGGAGGCCCAGGTGAACAAACACCCTTCACTTGGTGACATCCATGTCACGAGTGACAGGAATCAAGCCCCAAGGCCATCCCCAAGGTGGATGAGGGTCCCCTGCGCTGAGCTCAGGAAGGGAAGCACCTAGCCTGCTGAGCCTGCTTTCTTTACCTGAAAGCATCTGGGGTCACAGTGCCCTGTCTGTCATCCCCATGTTTACGATGGGGGACCACTGGCAACTGGACACTGGGCTGTGTCTCCAGGGGCCACAGGCTGCCCGGTACACGCAGAGCCATCCCAGGGTCCCCACCCTGTCCCTCCTTGCATCCCAGGGCAGTTTCTCCTGGTGCGAGCGCCATCAGGGAGCAGGCATCTGGCGGGATCCCCGAGCGCTGGCAGCTCCCGAGAGAGTCAGTGGGGGCTGGCGGAGCTCTTCTCTGCAGTATCTGAGAAGCACTGCATTTTGCCATTTTTAACTTTCTCCAAAGTGTCAAAAATGTTTTTCAAGAAGGTACAAACAGCTTGATTATCAATCAAAATTCCTATTATTTCCAAGGGGTCAGGAGTGCAGATCATTCATTCATTTATTCATTTTCACTCACCTGGTGCCTCCCAAGCCTCAGCCCCTCAGCTATAACCCTCCTCCTACTTTACAGATAAAAAGGAGCCACCAGGAGCCATCCCCCAACTCCATACCTGCTCACTCACCTCCACCTGCCCGAGCTTCCCGCCTTCCCACCTTCCTATGGCGATCCTTGCTGGCAACTGCTGCCGTGCAGCGCTGGGTCCTGGGCACAGAGATTTGCTTCTGATCTGCCACACAGGGACACCTGGCTTCACGCTGCTAGGAGCACCACCAATAAACCCACAACACATCTTTGTAACCACCTTTTAAAGAAATGACTAGAAGCCCTGGCAGCACAGTGGTTAAGAGCCACGGCTGCTAACCAAAAGGTCAGCAGTTCATCCACCAGGCGCTCCCTGGAAACCCTATGGGGCAGTTCTACTGTGTGTTATAAGGTCGCTGTGAGTCCAAATCAACTTGGCAACGGGTTTGGTTTTTCGGTTTTTTAAAAGAAACCGATGGCTAAGCAGACACTGTCCAGGGTTCTGAAAGAGGTTCCAGCCGTCTATGTAGTAGAGCAGGTTTTAAGAACCCTGGGAGTGAAGAGGCCCCGGAGAAGTAAAGCATTACTCAAGAAGAAGAACAAAGTGGGAGGCCTCACACTACCTGATTTTAGAACCTATTATACCGCCACGGTAGTCAAAACAGCCTAGTACTGGTACAATAACAGATACATAGACCAATGGAACAGAATTGAGAATCCAGGCATAAATTCAGCCACCTATGAGCAGCTGTATTTGACAAAGGTCCAAAGCCCGTTAACCAGGGAAAAGACAGTCTCTTTAACAAATGGTGCTGGCATAACTGGACATCCATCTGCAAAAAACTGAAACAAGACCCATACTCACACCATGCACAAAAACTAATTCAAACGGATCAAAGACTTAAATATAAAATCGAAAATGATAAAGATCATGGGAGGAAAAATAGGGACAATGCTAGGAGCCCTAATACATGGCATAAACACAATACAAACCATAAGTAACAATGCACAAGCACCAGAAGAGAGACTAGATAACTGGGAGCTCCTAAAAATCAAACACTTACGCTCATCCAAAGACTTCGCCAAAAGAGTCAAAAGACAGCCTACAGACTGGGAAAAATTGTTTGTCTACGTCAAATCCGACCAGCGTCTAATCTCCCTAAAACCTACAAGATATTGCAAAACCTCAACAACAAAAAGACAAATAACCCATTTAAAAAATGGGCAAAGGATATGAAAAGGCACTTTGCCAAAGAAGATATTCAGGTGGCTAACAGACACATGGAGAAATTGTCACGATCATTAGCCATTAGAGAAATGCAGATCAAAACTACAATGAGATATCATCTCACCCCAACAAGGCTAGCATTAATCCAAAACACACAAAATAATAAATGTTGGAGAGGTTGTGGAGAAACTGGAACACTTATACACTGTGGTGGGAATGTAAAATGGTACAACCACTTTGGAAATCGATTTGGCCCTTCCTTAAAAAGCTAGAAATAGAAGTACCAAACGATCCAGCTATCCTGCTCCTTGGAATATCTCCTAGAGAAATAAGAGCTGTCACACGAGTAGATATATGCACACCCATGTTCATTGCAGCACTGTTCACAATAGCAAAAAGATGGAAACCTAAGTGCCCATCAACAGATGAATGGAGAAACAAATTATGGTATATTCACACAATGAAATACTACCCAACGATAAAGAACAACGATGAATCTGTGAAACATCTTATAACATGGAGGAATCTGGAGGGCATTATGCTCAGTAATTTAGTCAGTCGCAGAAGGACAAATAATTGTATAAGATCACTATTATAAGAACTCAAGAAAAGGTTTAAACAGAAGAAAACATTCTTTGATGGTTACAAGGGTGGGGAGGGAGGGGGAGGGTTATGTACTAACTAGATAGTAGATAAGAAATATCTTAGGTGAAGGGAAGGACAGCACACAGTACAGGGGAAGTCAGCACAACTGAACTAAAC